CTTTGCGTTTATTCTCCTGTTGCTCAGTCACATCATTGCCAACACATACGACGACATGAGCCTGTACATGGACGAGTACACGCCCCTCTTCTCCAACCCGTCGCGCGAAACCAAGATTCCCTGAGCCGCTTTGCCGCCGCTTTGCCGCCGCTTTGCCTTCCTGCCTTCTTTCACCTAGCTCCTCCTCACCCGTGCATTGTAGATGTGTGTGTTCTTGTGCGTTGCGGGTGTGTGTGTGTGCGTTGCGGGTACGTGTGTGTGTGTGTGTGTGTGCGTTGTACGAGTGCATGGTGTGTACCATCATCACGTCCACCACTGTGGCGAGCACACACACACACTGTGATGTGAATCTGTCCACTGCCCCTTTTCCCCCTTCTGCTGTTACCAATTTGTGCTGTCGCATAAGGTTATTCTCATGGCAAATTTTCCAATGGCACAATCGGTGGAGGCCGAAAAATCAGTGGCCAGCCAATACACACGCAAACTTCCCGAAGCGGCCACCATTTTTTGTGTGCGGGCTGAAAGAGACGAAAAGGTGAGCACGTCGCTGCTGCAGCTGTGGCGGCGGTGAGTGCTTGGTTGGCGATATGAGCAACGCCGTGCAAGCAGAGCCGAGTGAGGGCTGATGATGGTGGGAGGATAAGGGATAAGGGTGTGTTCCTCGCTCGCTGCCTGCCTTGGGGGTTCGCAGATGCACGACACAGCAGCAGCAGCACCACCACCACCAGCAGCAGAATAGTGCGCCGTGTCAGGAGAATGATGATGAGCACTGTGCGACGAGGCAGCTTGCACAGCACATGTTCCTGCATCCACTGGACTGACCTTACCTCCTGCCGTGCCCTCACGCCACTCACACTGCCACTCACTGTTTGCACCACACCAACGTGCACGCGCACACACACACACACATGCGCACACACGCACAGACTTTCCACACCCATCCACCATGCTCTCTCGCGCTGTGACCACCGCCGTTCGCGGCGCTCGCGCCCCAACATACACTGCCGGTGCGTGGCCGTTGCCTGGCTCTGCCTGAGTAGCTGTGTGTGTGTGTGTGTGTGTGTGTGTGCGAGTGTGCACGCGAGTGTGCACGCGAGTACATGTCACTATGCCACTGTGCAATGGGGCCAGCGCCGTGTGCACTCAGTGAACATGTGTTGCTTGTCGCGCACCCTATTACCCTCTGCTTCCTCACTTTGCTGCTTCTTCCACTGGGGATGTTCCATTCACTCTCCTTCCACTCATCACAATGATGAACCCCCTCCACACTGCCGCCTAAATCTTCCAATTTTTTGCAGTCCGCTCCCTCGCGGCGCAGCAGGACGCCAAGGGCAGCATCGTCTCTGTCATCGGTGCCGTCGTCGACGTCAAGTTTGAGGATGGCAGCCTCCCTCCCATCCTCAACGCCCTCGAGGTCAAGGGCCACGAGACTCGCCTCGTTCTCGAGGTTGCCCAGCATCTGGGTGAGAACACGGTACGTCCTCCACACTCCACACTAGGTCCCGTGTGTTCCGGGTGCCAGCCATGCTTTCAACCACCTTGCTTGTTGTTGGCTGTGTTGTGTTGCGTTGTGCGTTATTGCCTTTGCTGCTTACTCTCCCTTTGCTCCTGCCGTGAGCTTACCGGCATTGTGTTTCTCCATTCCCTCTTGACCTCGCTTGGTGTTGCAGGTCCGTACCATTGCCATGGACGGTACCGAGGGTCTTGTGCGCGGCCAGCCCGTGGTTGACACCGGCGATGCCATCACCATCCCCGTCGGTATCCCCACCCTCGGCCGTATCATGAACGTCATTGGCGAGCCCATTGACGAGCGCGGCCCCATCAAGGCTGAGTCAACCCTCCCCATCCACGCCGAGGCCCCTCCACTGACCGAGATGGAGGTCAAGCCCGCTATCCTCGAGACCGGTATCAAGGTCATCGACCTCCTTGCCCCTTACGCTAAGGGTGGCAAAATTGGTGAGTCAGCTATACCGTAGTTTGCATGAACGCCTCCTTGCGTTGCTTCCCTTGAAGCGGTGGGATGCGCCTTCCGTCTCTCTTGCTTGTTTGTCTTGTTGCCGTTTCTTTTCTCCCCCTGTCTCGTCATGGTTCTTTTGTTGTCTTCGCCCGCTTTCTGCGTCGCCCCCCCCCCCCTGTTTCGCAAACTCTTTTGCGCGTATCTCTTTTTGCCTCTTGGGAGTGTGTCTTCCCTTGCACGCATCTCTATCACCGTGCCCAGTCTTAGTGCTGGCTGGAGAGGATCTACCTTTCTGGTCACGTTCACACTGGGTAGCGCTAAACTAGGATGCAAGACCCACTGTGGGCTCCGTGTCCACGTCGGATGTTATTGTTGTTTTCGTGGTCACGCCTCTGTTTTATCCCCACGCGTTGTGCCACAGCACGACCTCCAACATCGTGTCATGACGATCATGACATCTTCTTTCTTCTTGTCCAACCTCCTCGTTGTGCTTGGCAACTTGTGCTTTCCTCCTTTTCCTTCTTTCTTTCATTTTCTTTTGCTTTCGTTCGCTCATCCGTTCGTTCTCTCTCCTTGTGCTTTCCGCACATCTTCCTTCTTTCTGCTCTTCTTTGTCCTTTTCAATTTGCCGCACCAACCCCACACGCCTCTTCTTTGCAAACACACACATGCACGCACACACACAGTCTCTGCCTTTCGCCAACCTCACATGGTTCGCACGTCTCACGGCTTGAAAAACAAACCTTGTCCTGCGCTGTGTTCCTTCTTCCTCCCCTCCCGCCACTTCTCTCCTCGCAGGTCTCTTCGGTGGTGCCGGTGTCGGCAAGACTGTGCTTATCATGGAGCTGATCAACAACGTCGCCAAGGCTCACTCTGGTTACTCTGTGTTCGCCGGTGTCGGCGAGCGTACCCGTGAGGGTAACGATCTGTACCACGAGATGCAGGAGGGTGGCGTCATTGACCTCGAGACCCCCGAGAACTCCAAGGTCGCCCTCGTGTACGGCCAGATGAACGAGCCGCCAGGTGCCCGTGCCCGTGTCGCCCTGACTGGTCTGACCGTTGCCGAGTCCCTCCGTGATCTCCCCGACCCCAGCACCGGCCGTGGCCGCGATGTGCTCTTCTTCATTGACAACATCTTCCGCTTCACCCAGGCCGGTTCCGAGGTGTCTGCCCTTCTCGGCCGCATCCCCTCCGCTGTCGGTTACCAGCCCACCCTCGCCACCGACATGGGTGCCCTTCAGGAGCGTATCACCTCCACCACCTTCGGTTCCATCACCTCCGTCCAGGCTGTCTACGTGCCCGCTGATGATCTGACCGATCCCGCCCCCGCCACCACCTTCGCTCACTTGGATGCCACCACTGTGCTTTCCCGTGGTATTGCCGAGCTGGGTATCTACCCCGCTGTCGATCCCCTTGACTCCGCCTCCCGTGTCCTCGACGCCGCCATTGTTGGCGACGAGCACTACGCATGCGCCCGTGACGTGCAGAAGATCCTCCAGGACTACAAGTCTCTCCAGGATATCATTGCCATTCTCGGTATGGATGAGCTGTCCGAGGAGGACAAGCTCACCGTCGCCCGCGCCCGTAAGATCCAGCGCTTCCTCTCCCAGCCCTTCACCGTCGCCGCTCCTTTCACTGGCCAGGAGGGCAAGCTCGTCCCCCTCAACGACACCATCCGCGGCTTCCGGGTGCGTTGCCTTGTGTGTTGGTTTGTTTGGTGCGTGGCTGCGGTGTGGTGTTTGGTGGATGAAGCGTGCATTGCGTTTTTGGTGGTTCAGGCGCACCCACTGCCTGATGTGAATGTGTATTTTTGTGTGTGATGGGGGGGGGGGTTTCGAGTCATCACCAGTGTTCGTTGTAGCGTTTGCCTGACCACGAATCTCACTCTCGTCTCGTGTCCACCTTCAATGTGTCCACTTTTGACGTGTTGCAGGACATCCTTGAGGGCAAGCACGACGACAAGCCCGAGGTTGCCTTCTACATGGTTGGCGGCATCGCCGATGTCGAGGCCAAGGCCGAGGAGCTCGCCAAGGAGGAGGAGGAGCGTCTGCGCCGCCAGGCCTCTGCTTAAAGGAACACACGCCAGCAACAGGCAGCCTCCTGGCTGCTGATTGCAGTGGTTTCTTGTGAATGGGTGGTTTTGTGTCTGCAGCACGTGGGCGTGTGTGATTGTGTTGTCTGAACGCTTGCCGCGTGTAATCCGAACGTGATGGTTTCCGAGAACACTTTTGCTGTTTTTGTTCTTGAAGTCAGCGCCCGGGTTCCATGTTGCTCGCTTCATACCAAACATGTTTGCATTTCGTGCATGCGCCGTGGGCTGTTGTTGTGTTTGTGCAAGTCTTTGTGGCAACGTGCCGTGGCAGTCGATAGAGCCAGCGTACCTCCTCGGTGTGGTTTGTTTGTTTGTCCCCCCGTCTGTCGCAGCACGCGCGTGTGTTGGATTGCGGTTGTGTGCGCTAAATTTTCCTTTCTGCTCCCTCTCTCTGTCTCGTGAGTCGTGCGCTTCGTCAGTTGTTGCGTCGTGTGTTATTGGATCGTCCGTGTGTATCATCATCATTGTCGCCCTCGGGCGTGTTGTGTGGTGTGGGAGAAACAAAAAAAACAGTCAGTCGTCTCCATCATCACGTCCTCGTACCTGTTTGTTGGGTTCAATTACACCTTGATGCCAACTGACGTTGAGAAGCAAAGCCACATGTGTGCGCGCGTGGTTGGTTGGTTCAGAGAGGGTGCTGGAAGCGACACCCCTCTTCGTGCCTTCGTGTACTCGCCCCTTGCTTGAAAGTCTTACCTGGATGTATGTTTCGCACAAGGCTTGGCCTTGTAAATGCGCATGGTGGATACCAAACGCGACCATTATTTTTTTGCTTTTGTCTGTGTGTGTGTGTGTGGAACGGAAGGCAGGGAAGACACCCGATACAACACAGCAGCAGCAGCACGACGGAAGACGAGCGCAAGGCAGGGAAGCACAGCACGCTTTTTGAGCAGACGCTTTTTGCTTACTGGACGCGCGGGCACAGCGGGCATGGACGAGGAGAAAGCCGCGCTGCGTCGGCGTGGCAGTGGTGACAGCAGTGAGGGCGAGCATCGTGACAGCACCGATGCCACGCAGCAGCGAGACACGCACAACGGCAACGACAACGACAACGACAGGCAGCAGCAGGACAGCGGCGGCTGGGCGAGCGGCGAGCAGTCGCAGCAGTCGCAGCAGGCACAGCACAACGAGCACGGCCACTCCGACGCGGCCCAGGTCCACGGCGACAGCGCCGAGGAGAGCGAGCCGAGTGCTTGCCGTGGTGGCAATGATGGCCGCCATGCTACGAGTGATGCAGATGCTGCTGGGGATGACGATGAGGAAGTTGCAAGAAGCGAGAATGGCGACGATGGCCCTTCTCACAGGGATGCGGGCGACCAGCGTCAATCACAACGCCATAAGCACAGCCCACTGCCCGAGGTGAGCGTGGCATCCGATGCCGGTAGTCTCGCAGAGTCACAGCAACAGGAGATGGGTGTCACGGCCTCTGGTGTGGTCACTCCTGTCAGACTACACGACTCCACCATGGACGCGCCGTCCCCGATCCCGTACATGCCAGATGACACTGTGGTGGACACCATTTCCATTTCATACGGAAGCGTCGTTCACCGTTTTGAGGTGTGTGTGTGTGTGTGTGTGTGTGAAGTGTGTGTGTGTGTATGTGTGTGTGTGAAGTGTGTGTGAAGTGGAAGCCGCTGTCGAATGCATGCGAGCACAAGGTGCTGTGGGGCTTGCTATTCCAGTCACAACTCACCATGGTAGCACAAACACACACACACGCACGCACGCACGCTCTCTCTGTGCTCAGCCTGGGCATGATCTGACACCAAAGGATGTGCTGACCGCTTTCGACCTCCCAGAAGTCACAGAGTTTCAGGTGCGTTGCACATGCGTGTGCATCTGCGATCAATTGGCTGTGCAATCTCCCTTCCATCAACACACACACACACATACACACACACACACACAAACTGCATTCATCTGCTCACGCTGCTGTGTGGTTTGCTTTTGCTGCCTGGGCAGATCCGCGACGACATGGGCGAGGAAGTCGATCTCAACAACGCCCGCCTGCATCGAAACCTGTCCCTGGTGAGCCCCAAACCGTAGACTTACCCCTTTCCTTACCCGGCTTTTCACCACATTGCACTTAAGCTGACAACACGCGTGGTGTTGTGTTTGTCATGTTCGTTGTGCCTTGTGCAATGCTCTGCTTTCTTGTGGCTTGCTTCCATGTGCTCTGCTTTCAATGTGTTCGAGCCCAATGTGCTCTTCCTTCACCTGCTCATGGCATTGTTTTTTTTTTTTTTTTTTGCACCGGATGGCATTTGCCACCACCAGGTTGTTCGCCGCAGCCGCCGCCGTCCCCGCACTGCAGAAGGCCGATTACAGCGCGCAAACCTGCGACGCGAACTTGACAGAGGTCTGCAGCCCCGTCCGTGTGTGTGTGTGTGTGTGTGTGTGTTAACTCAAAGCGATGTGCATCATGTCGCGTTTGGCACGCCCTCCGATTTTCCCTTCCCTTTTATAAATGTGCGAGCTGTACTCACACTACACCACGGATTGGTGTGTTCACACTGCACCCCGGATTGTCGCAGGCATGGCCTTGTTGCAAGAGAAGCAAAACATCCTTGTGGACAACGGCGGTGCTGCCGAGGATGTGAACAATCTCTCCTGGGAACAGTTTCGCCAGGCATTTCGCACAGACTTTGAAAACGGCCTGCGAAAGTGCGTTATAAGCTTGAGCATGCTCACGGGTAGTTTGAATGTGGTTGGCGTGCGCACGTTTTGCACTTGTGCAGGCATGTAGGTGTGCCTTTGCGCATGTGCACACGTGCAGGTTGTGGTGTGCATGCACAGTTATGACGCCTGCACCACCTTTCCTTTGCCACTATTCTGACCCATTCAATCCCCACTTTGCTCACGTATCATGGCCAACACCAGGAGCATGTCGTTTTCGAACCTGAGCGAGACCTCCACACACTCGCGCGCACGCGCCTCAACCATCTCCGTATCCAACCCCACACAAGAACCGGCACAGGTGCCTGACATGCATGTGCTATGGCAGCCAGTCCGCGCGTACACCATGGTGTCATGTCACCACACACCTCTGTCGCATGGCCTTTGTCACACTGGGTCTTGACCACATTGCCATATCTCACTCCACGTGTTTGCAACCTCATGCTTCCAGGCCAACAAGCAAGAGCGAACGATACGCACGTTCGAGGCCACATACGCGGTGGGTGTTTGCGTGTGAATGCGTGAATGCGTGTGTTATTGTGCAGTTGTGTGTGTGTGTGTGTGTGTGTGTCAGCTCGTACCTGTGTGCCTGTGTGCCTGTGTGTGTGAATATGTCGTCATTCAGTCAGTACCTCAACAAGTGTGCTGCGGAAGGATGCAACGGCACGCTCCCTTTCTCTTTCCCCCCACTTTTCACCATCCTCACGTGTTTGTTCCTTTCAACACCATGCTCCCTGCACCCTGCCACGTTTGCTGTTCAGCAACCGAAAACGCTGGTGATCATGTACTCAGCACAAGGCTTTGGCTTCTCGTGCCGCCGCCTGTGCGTTGTGGACGAGCAGCTTGTGAGTGCTGCGCCACCATCGTCATCATCGTCGTCGTCATATGCTCACGATGCATCGCGTATGGCCCTGACGCGCCTCACGCTCATGGAGATGGACGAGGAGCTCCTCCTCCCACAAGAGACCCTGGTGCGTATTATGTGTGTTTGTGTGTATGTATGTTTGTTTGTTTGTTTGTTTGTTTGTTTGTTTGTTTGTGTGTGTGTGTGTTTGTTTGTTTCGTTTGTTTGTTTGTTTGTTTGTTTGTTTCGTTGGTTGATTGGCTTGTGTGTTCGTGTTGTTGATTGGCATGTGTGTTCGTGTGGTTGGTTGGTTGGTCGTGTTCTTGATGGATTGAGTGTGTTGATTCAAGCGGTGTGTCACGCGTGCATGGGCAACATCAACAACAACACCAACAAAACAACCGCAGCCTTCGGTCGGAACGCCACAGCACGCACAGCCTCCCTTCCCGTGGATCCGTTCCATTCATCTCCCCACAGCCAACGTGCGCGAATGTCTGCCTCGTTTTGCCCTGTTTCTGTCTGTCTGTCTGACTGACACACACACACACACACACACACACACACACACACACACACACACACACACACACACACACACACACACACACACACACACACACTCTCTCTCTCTCTCTCTCTCTCTCTCTCTCTCTCTCCCTCTCTCTCTCTCTCTCCGTGCCTCCCTGTCACTCTCGCTCACACAAACTCGCACACACGCGCCTCTCACACACTCGCATACGCACACACTCACACGCACGCACGCACACGTACATGCAACAGATTGCGAAACCTTTGGCACATGCCAAAGTTGAAACGCAAGTCGTCGTCTGTGGAGACGGGCCTGTCCGCCGTGCCGTTTGCCACGTCCATTTGCGAGCTGTGTGCGCGCCACGGCGTGCGCGTGCCCGTGCTTGTCACGAAGCTTGTTGAGGAGGTTGAGCGACGCGGGCTGGACGAGGAAGGCATCTACCGCCACTCCGGTCCAACGTCTCAAATACAGATGCTCAAGGAGTGCCTCTCGCGCGACCCAGTCGGTACAGACCTGACAGACGAAGACACGTTCTACGACCAACACGCCCTGTGCGGCGTATTGAAGGAGTACTTTCGCAGCATCACCCCACCGGTCTTTACCGGCGAACTCTACGATAAGGTTGGTTACTGTTGCCTGTTGGAGAGGTGGTGTGCGTGTACATGTGTACGTGTACGTGTACGTGTGCATGGTTGTACGTGTTGGTGTATGTGCGCGGGTGTGGGCGAGCATGTATGTGTTGGTGCGGACACGAGTTTGCGCATGTACATGCGTGCGTGGGTGTGTACATACTCCCCCTCCCTTTGTCCATGCGAGTTTCCCTCAGCTCACAACACTTCTTTTTCGAACATTCGTCTGCAGTTTATTGCGTGCGCGAAGATGAGCGGCGAGAACAGGCTACATGTTCTCAAGGACTTGCTGAGTCAGCTGCCCCCGGAGCACCACACCACCTTGGAGTTTGTCATTCGCCATCTCACACACGTTGTCGACCACTGTGCCAAAAACAAGGTGTGTTGATATGCGCGTGTGTGTGCATGCGTGTGCTTGTGTGTGTGTGTGCTTGTGTGTGTGTGTGTGTGTGTGTGTGTGTGTGTGTGTGTGTGTGTGTGTGTGTGTGTGTGTGTGTGCTTCTGTTGACATATGCGAGTCAGCTGCTCAGACCTTGTGTGAGTGCGCACACCCTCGCGCGCAACACAGTTTTGCTCCTGTTCCAAAACACTCAACACTCATCACCTTTCTCTGTAAATTCTTTCGCCTGAATGAATGTTCTGCGTACGACTTTTCTCCCACACATACACACGCACGCACACCCCCTTGTAGATGATTGCATCGAACCTCGCTGTTGTGTTTGGGCCGACCCTTGTTCGTCCAGCAGCAGGAAATGACCTATCTTTGGTACGTCAAGTCTCTGTGCACAAATGTGTGGTGTGGTGTGTGCGTGTGTATGCATGTTTGGTTCCATGTCGTTGTCGCTGGTTCTTCCTCACAGTGCAATCAACAAACGCTACCTCACATGCTCAACCGCACACCCCCTCCCCCCTTCCTCTCTTGTCGTCCTGCGTTCTTCCTGTGCGTGCGCTGCTACAGTTACAAGACATGAGCCATCAAAGCAAACTCGTGGAGCTGCTCGTTACAAACTGCTCTGTAAGTTCTCACTGCCCACAGTTTTGCATACATGCGCGCGCGCGAGTGACAGTGCACAAACCCCCTTCTGCTGTGTGTGTGTTCGCCGGCAGTCTGGCCAGCATTTGTCACGCACATACACACACGCGCGCGTGCGCGCGTGTCGCACCGCTCACATCCACTCAATCACACTCTCACCCACTCACACTCACCCACCCACTCACACATATACACACACACTCACACTCATCCACTCACTCACCCACTCACTCACCCACTCACTCACCCACTCACTCACTCACACATACACACACACACACACACACTCACGCACGCACTCACGCACGCACACATGCACGCGTGCAGTTCTTGTTTGATGCAACGGTGGGCGGCACAGACGGAGAGGAGGGCGAGAATGCAAATGAAACCCGGGAGCACGATGAGTCATCCATGCTGGAGGACACGACGTCCATCGGCGAGCACGACACAACGGCCACGGAGGAGAACACCGGCCAGGCGGGAGTCTCGCCCACCACGCCGCACGATTACGCGCTGCAGACGGACGTGCTGGCGTACCTGGCTGGAAGCATTCCGGACCTGCCCCTGGCCGCCGATAGTGAACGCGGCGCAGGCGACGCAGCCCAGCAAGACCACGTCCGCGGCACTGTGCAGCAGACAGAGGGGGCAGAGGTGGGTGGCGCTGAGCGTGGTGATGACGCCGTACCAGGCAGCGCCAGCAAGCCTGCGGGCGCCTTTGAAGTCGGCGACGGCGACGGCGACGGGGACAGCGGTGCTGCCTCGAAACACAGCGGGGGAGGTGGCCGCGGCGGCTACCTGGAAGTGCAAGGGCGGGCAGAGCCGGAGGCACGCGCAACGTCCGTGCCGGCGAGCGTGCGCATGCGGCGTGGTGATGATCATGGCTTGGGCGATGGCGGGCGTGGTGGCGCTCGGAGCAGCAGTGCCCGTTTCAAGGACGGCGCTGGGGCTACGGGCAGCGACGCCGCGCACGCAGCTACGCCGCTGTCACCGCCGCTGACGTCAACATCACGGTCGACACACGGCAGCCTGCACGGTGGCAGCGGCGGCGGCAGCAAAGGGCTGGGCAGCAGCGGGGCAGCGGACCCGGGGACGGGGTCGCCGCGGCTGGACAGGCCACGATCGGTGCCGCGGCGGAAGAAAGACCGTCGCAGTGGCAGCCTGCCGCTGGAGACATCACGCAGCTTGAAGAGCACGCACACTCCCACACACCTCCATCACCAGCAGCAGCATCAGCAGCAGCACGACCACCAGTCTCACCACCACCACCAGTCGCAGCAGGAGCTTGGGCGTCGCGGTAGTGAGCGGGCCAGCAACGAGGCTGACCGGCGCAGGGAGTCGTCGATGGCGCTGCAGGCGCTGTTGTCTGCGTCAGCGGACCAGGGCGGTGCACCCTCGCCCCATCACGACAGTGGCAGCAGAGGCAGCAGCAGCAGGAGCCTGAAGCTGATAGACAGCGGCGTTGCGGAAGGCGGAGAGCGCACAGGCCAGGTTGTCGGTGCAAGGGACGGTGATGAGGGTGACGCGGCTGGCGTGAGCGGTGGGGAGGATCTGAGGCGCGGGCGAAGACGGCAGCACCCGCACCCAGGTGATGTGCCAGCCGGGCCCGAGGGAAGTGCACGCGAGGCGGGCGCGAATCAGACCGTTGATGATGAGATGCGGCCTGCTGTGGTGGAGGAAGCGCGGCACCGTGCGCTGGAGGTGTTGACGGAGTTTGATCGCGCGTTCTGCGAGTTTGAGACGCACGAGGACATCCGGGCGCTGCAGCGGGCAGGCACTCCTGTGGACGACTTTTTCCTGGACGGCGACGACGAAGCAGCGGAGGCGGAGCAACGCAGCGGTGGTGAGCAGCGGCACCGCGACAGTCGCAAAGCCGCAGCGCTGGGTGACGGCAGCAAGGGCGGCGACAGCGGCGACGAGAGCAGTAATGCGGCACTTGCTCAAGCGCGGCCGCACGCGCACCGGGAAGAGCCGGAGAGCCGGCCGCTGACGTTGTTGGTGTCGCGACGCCGTCACGAGGAGGAGCAACAACAGCAACAACAGCAAGAGCAACAGCAACAGCAGGAGCAGGAGCAGGAGGAGGAGGAACAAGGCGATGGCGGGGATGTGCCAAAGCGGCCGTCGTACGAGGCGGCGATTGGCAATGCAGCGTCGAGGGCGCCCAACGTGCCAGCGCAGCAGTTTCGCGTGGTTGAACGGCCGGCCAGGCGTGTTGGGCCGACAGCAGCGACGATACAGCGCCTGCAGACCACGCGCGAGGAGCAGTCTGCCACACAAGGCGAGCATGACGGCGACGGTGATGGTGACGGCAATGGTGGTGATGGACGTGATGACAAGGAGACAGGCGTGGAGCAGCACAGGAGCGAGGCTGAAGGCGGTGAGGCGGGCGGGCGTGGTGGTGGCGTGTCCCTGCACCGGCCACCGCCGTCGTACAGTACGGTGGATCGATCACAGCGGCTGATTCTTCGCCGGGACGGCAAGCCCTTCTCCACCTCCAGTCGCGAGAGCACCATCTGAAGCACCACGTGCAGCATCTTTCATGTTTGTTTGTTTGGTTGTAGTTCTGCTGGTGTGGTGTTGGGGTGCTGTGCTTTCTTGCCACCTCGTTTTCCACCTCGTCAAGAGCCTCGTTTGTTGTTGGCGGGCAATCTCCACATGAGTGTGGCCAGCGGACCCCTCGCAGACACGACTCTGCTCTACGCGGCAGCACCATAATCATGTTTACCACCACCACCATACACCACCACCACCATACACCACCACCATCCCACGACTCAGCAGCGCAGCTTTCTTTCATGGCTCGCTCGGCTATTCATGTTAACATATCGTCGTCGTCCTCGTCTGGCTGCTTCATTTTCCCTTGAGCGTTTGTGCGCCAGCTCTTCCGTGCATTCATGCAGGTTGCCTGCCTTGCATACTGGGCCCCCTCCCTGCACTTCCTGTTACATAACCGCCGCTGCGCAACAGCAAGACCTTTGCGTCCTTCGAGACCCCCCCCCTCCCCTTGCCCCACCTTCACTGTTGTTTTACACTGTCCCACACACATTGGTGTGCACTTCCTTCCAGCTTCTTGCTGACATCCTGGCTGCTGCTGGCGCTACCTTGCTTGCTTGCTGGCTACCTTGCTTGTTGGTTGGTTGGTTTGCTTGCGTGCTGCACACACACACACACGCACACACACACGCACACACACACACACACACACACACACACACATCCAGACGCGTTGTGTTTATCTGCACGCGCGTGGTGCGTGAGTGCGTGGTACTGTTTTTTTTTTCTTCTTCGTCATTCAGTGGTTGACTGATGGGATGTGTAGGATGCGTACGCTTCGTAGCTTGTTTGCAGGGTCAGTTTGGTCTGTTTCATGCTCCCTGCTTCACTTGTGCATATGTTCTTGCCCATCCGTACCCGCACATAAATACCATTGCATTCACATGCACAAGGTGTGCTTCCTTCCAGCCATTTCTTCCATCATCACCACACTTCCACCTACCTGTGGCAGCTTGCTGCTGCTTGCGTGCTGCAGTTGTTCGTTGTTGTTGTTGTTGTTGTTGTTGTTGTTGTTGTTCGTTGTTGTTGTTGTTCGTTGTTGTTGTTGTTGTTGTTGTTGTTGTTGTTGTTGCTGTTTTGTTGTTCGTTGCTGTTGGTTGTTTTGTTGTTCGTTGCTGTTGGTGTTCGTTGCTGTTGTTGTTCGTTGCTGTTGTTTGCGCTTGAGTGTCCCTCTTCCTCTGTCGTGTTGTCATTTCATCGTTGTCCTCGTTGATTTTTGAAGCAGCACTTCTCTTCCTTCTGCTTCCGTTTTTTTTTTTTTTTTGCTTTCGTTTCTTTCGTTCGTGCAGTCCCGCAGCAACGAAGCGCAAGCGAGAGCAACACAACGTCCCCATGTTACTTGACAGTTGTCTTGCATAAAGCGGCATGCAGGTTGTGCTGCCGTTCGGGTTGGAAGTGCATGCGAATCGACTGCAAAACGGTGTGGAGGGGCGAATGGCAGCACTTTGGCCCAGCTAACTCGCACTCTGTGGGTATCTGACGCAACTTTGCGCGCCTGCACTCGCCACCTCTGACGCAACAAGTAAAACATCAACGCAAAATCAAAACGGCAATGCCTTTGCCCCGTGACGAGATTTCGCTGTATTGACCCGTTTGCACTTGAAAGTGCTTGCACGCAGAAGTGTTGTTGGACACACTCGCGTTGTCCGTTGAACCGCTCTGCAGTGTTTTGTGCTTGCCTCATGTTGGGTGCCCCCAGCACACCCGCGCAGCACAATGCCCACAACAGCAGCAGCAGCAGCAGCAAGCAACCAAGGCAAAAAAACCACCAAGACGACAACGACCGCGACCGGGGCCATCTTGCACGCTGGTGTCTCTGCTCCACCACTGCCTTCCCACGTTTCCCCAACCAAACTCTCGCCATTTACACCCACAATCCCCGCCCACCACTCGCCCTTGCTTGCCGCTTCAGCTGTCCTTCCTTCTGCTGTTCCTTGGCCTTGCTTGCGGCGAGTTCAGCTGGTGGTTGTGCTCGCTGACTGGCTGCAGCTCTGCTGCGTTGGCTGGCGGTTTTGGTTTTGGTTCCTGGAGAGCGTGCGCGTGTGCCTTTTCTTACTTTCCACGTCCCTCCACGCAAGACCGTCTTTCCCTCCTCCCCGCCACCTGCCGTCTCTTTGTGGTGGTGTTGTATTCTGCCGGCTCCACCCACTTCAGCACCACCCTTGCTGCTCGCTCTGCTTGTTCGCAGTGGTGTTCACGCCCCTGCCCCAGTGTGTGTGTGTGTGTGTGTGTGTGTGCTTGCGTGTGTCTCAAGTGTGTGGCTGTGTATCTATCCCCATTCCAGCCATTCCAGCGCAGCCATCCTTTGCCCTTTCCTTGCACGCCATTGGACAAATCCTTCTGAGTGCATGGGTTACTAGGTTGGTGTCTACAGGCACCCACACCATACCCACCCCCACAACCGAAAACCCCCTCGAACTTGCTTGCTTCAGCGATGATGATTGCGTTCTGCTAATCTCGTCGGTGGATTGCATGGTTTGAATTGTGTGTTTGTGTGTGTGTGTGTGAACGTGTATGTGAGTGTGAACGTGTGTGTGAGTGTACAGTGTGTGTGTGTGTGTGTGTGTGTACAGTGTACAGTGTGTGTGTGTGTGTGTGTGTGCGTTTGAATGTACAAGCGGCAAAGCATTCTTCGCCTTTGAACAATTAGCCAGTCTTCTCCGCTTTCACACCCGCACTCACACATGCACTCACCCATCCCCGTCCCATCCCATTTCCACTTCAGCACCACCTGCCTGCGACGAGCTTCTTGGACTGCCTGCATTTCTCCCGACGCCCACCTCCCATTTCCTTCCATTCTTTCTTCACAAGAGCAGGTTGGTGAGCTGCACAACCCTCGTGCTCACACACGTGTTCCATGCCTATCTTGCACACGCGCTCCATGTATGTGAAAGAGAAAGAGAGAGAGAGGGGGGGGGGGGAAGGGGTGGCTTGGGTCTTGAGGAAGAGTGATTGTTCAAGCAAGGTTGGGGTGGGTCGGGAAGCGCCAACGAGCGTGTGCAATATCAATCAAGTGCACGCGCTCCTGCAGCGTACCAACTCGCCTCTGTGCGGATGTGAATGTGCACGACATGAACACACACACACACACACACACGCACGCACACACACACACACACACACACACACACACACACACACACACACACACACACACACACACACACACTCACATCCCAGTCAATGAGCTTCTCGTCATCAATGTTTTGTCGCGTGTTTGCCCACATTCCAACCCCCTCCCATCGCAGCATCACTCAACCCTTTTTTGCCTGTCATCACTTGACACCCCCTGGCTCTCGCGAACATTCCACGCCCTACTTTAGGCCTTCTGCCTAACGATTTGAACTTGTCGTTGCACGGACAAGCTCCAGCGCAAAGGGGTTTCGTACTCCAGCTTCTCAAGTCTCCCTCAAAGTCGCGGTTAGTGGCCTTGTGTGTGCAGTCACCACTTTCCCCAGACCAGCCTCCTCCACATCAGCCCTACTTCTTCCTTTCGGTACCTCTCTGGCCTGCTGCTTGCCATGTCACCTCGCTTCTCGCTGAGCACTCTACCGCTGTCTTGTTTCCCTTTCTTGCTCTCCGCCCACCTCCTATCATCGCCTTTTGTGTTTGAGTGTGGTGTTTTGGTTGATTGGTGGATTCTTTGCTTGGCGCTCGTCTTTGCGCGTGCATGTGACCATCACCCTTTTGTGCATGATGCTGCGCTGATGGATTGACCACGAACACCACCATCACCACGTCTTGCTTTTTCTTTCTCGCTCGTGCGTGCGTGCGTGCGCGTTGAACCATGTGTACACAGTCTGCCCCATAGCAGCACAGTTCCCTTTGTTCTACATCTTCTTGGTGCAGCTTTGTTGTTCGTGCCGTGGCTTTCTTCTGCCCGCTGTGCTGTGCTGTGCTGTGCAGCGCAGTGGAGTGTCTTGTTGCTTTCAACCCCTGCAGTCCGCCAGCCACCCTTGTTTTGCCATTGTGACACGGCTCCTTTTCTCCCCTCGCCCAAAACTGTTGTCCATCCACGTTTCCCTCCTTGTGTGTGTGTGTGTACCTTTGCGGTTTCACATATCAAACTACACTCCACCGCTCACAACTCACCCGCGTTGTCGTTGCGACTGTGCGTCGTCTTTGCCAGGTCGATCACCGCCCGCCACCTCCCCCCAACTCTTGTCGCGTGATTCGTCACCGCAACCATCCTCCATCCTCACGTGTCCAGCCAGCATGGATGACGCCAACGACAACATCAGAGGCGAGCTGCTGCGGTTCCTCACCCACGGAGACGTTAACTTGGCGCGGCTCGTTCCACGCCTTCTCGACCACCTTGAAGCTCGCCCACGTAACCACTGGCGTCAGCACGAACGGGCGCACGAGCGCCGCTTGCACCCGCACGCCCGCCCTCGCCCCGTCTCCCCGCCACAGTCGCCACCGCCGCGCCGCCGGCAGCACCTTGACCCGCGCGCTGCAGCACCGCTTCCTGTGGACGGCGAAAACGACCACAACGCCGATGAGCCCAATCTCCAGCTGCCACCAGAGCAGCAGCAGCGTGAGGATGGCGGGCTTCGCGTCGGCGGCCTGGTAATGCCCGCCCCAGACGACCGCCAGCGACAAGACAGCAGCAGCAGCAGCGGCGGCAGTAGCAGCGGTGGCAGCGATGACGACGATTCCGTTCGCCGGGACAGCAACAGCAGCCAGGATGGTTCAAGCCCAAAAGGTGCCAATGAGCGCCGCAGATCAAGCTCCTCCGATGAGCGGATCGAAGAGGTTGCCGCACACGGCAACGGCCCGGCGCAGCAAGGTCTCCACCACCAGCATGAGCACGCCGATGATGGTGCCCTGGACCTTCAAGCGCAGCCAGATCACCGCGAAGGCAACCCTGGCCCCGCTTGTGTCATTTGCAAGCGCCCAGACGCTCGCGGGCCCGAACGGTGAGTATGCGTCGTGCCTCACTCAAATCCGCCCATGTTCCGGCATGAGAGAGCATACAGTGTTTGGGTGGCTGCGGATGGTTGCCTGCAAGCAAAGCAAATTGATTGTTGTTTTGTTCTATTTCTGCGGACAATGTATGGCGTGATGTGTGTGGCATGCCACGGCTGTTGTTCCTTGAATTCATCAACCACGCTGCCGCTGTATTGACAAAGCTCCCCATGCGCTTGCTACACCCGTTTGCTGGCTTGCGTCTTGACACAACGCAGAGTATGCCGTTTGTGTCACGTTGCCGTGTACCGGCGTGTGCAGACGTGGTTCCTTCAGGAGAGACAACGCCAATACATGCACGTTGACGAGCTGCGTATCTCCTTCATTCAACGTAGGTTGTTGTTGTTTAAGTTGTTGTTGTTTAAGTTGTTGTTGTTGTTGTTGTTGTTGTTTAAGTTGTTGTTGTTGTTGTTTAAGTTGTTGTTGTTTAAGTTGTTGTTGTTGTTGTTGTTGTTGTTGTTCGTTGCTGCTGCTGTTGCTGCTCAGTATCCAATCAAGAACACCACCTTTGCACGAGCATGTGGGTTGTACGAATGTCCAACTGTTGCCCCACTGTTGCCCCATTACCCAGCCAGCTGTTGTCTCCTGGTTCAAGCTCACCACCTGCCCTCATCCATCACTGGCCCGCTTGTCAACCCGGCAGACATGACACGCAGCGCCGAGCGATGCATCTCTGGTGGCATGTGTGATGTCGACAGCCTCCATTTCAGCAGAAATAGTGAGTTTTTTTTTTTTTTTTTGGGGGGGGGGGGGGGGGGGGTGTTGGAATCAACATTGCTCGGGCTGTGGCTCCTTTGCATCTCCCGCTTGCTCCAGCACACACGCACGCACACACACACACACACACACACACACACACACACACACACATGTCTGCTCACGATCCCCTTGCACAAATGTGCATGCAGATGATCGCTGTTCTCGCTGCATTGCCATGTGGGACGCCCAAATCAACCACAACCATCTCCATTTCTGTACGCTGCTTGTTCTTTCTTGGGTTACCTGTTGTTGCAGTTGTTGCCCGTTTCTGTTTTGTGCCTTGAGTTAACATGTCTTGTGGGCCTGTTGTCGACGAACAGAAAGTGGACACTTTAACAACAGCTGCATGCACCCTCCACCTCACCTTCATGTCACTCCTCTCCGTTGTGCGATGTTTGTTTGATTTTGCTTGCAGGCATCCTTCTTGTGCTACGCCACGCAGCGGAAGCGTGAATGTGATCCAAGAGTCCTCCACGCAATGCTTTTCATGTTGCTGAACTCCCGCCATTTTCCAGATTCCCTTGATTCATTCCCTCACACGCTATCATTAGCTCATGCATTCATCCATTCTCGCCTTCATCCATTCCCTCATTCGTCCATTTCATGCACGCGCGTTGAAATCATTCATTCATTCATCCGCCTCGTCTTCCATGACGACTATCTATCCTGTTGCTCATGACAAGTTCACGCATGCGTTCCCCTTTGTACGGAGGCCTTTGCTCCTGGTCTCGTGCGTTACACGGCTTCCTCCGCATCCTCTTTGTTTTGCTTTCTTCTCGCTTCACTGTGAGTTGTCTCTTTCAGCGCCCATGCGCCCCTTTGTGCTTGTGTGTGTGTGTGTGTGTGTGTGTGTGTGTGTGTGTGTGTGTGTGTGTGCCCGTTCTTATCTTCTCTTCTCGGGATTGATGTGAAGTCAAATGATGGTTTTTGTGTCTCTTGTGCCCGCTCGCTTCTAGCTCGCCCCTATCCTTCTCTATTTGCGCGTGTGAGAATGCCAAGTCTTGTCCTCTCATGTCTATTGTGGTTCTGTGCTTCTTGTTCTCATCATCTTTGTGTTGTTGTGCGCGACCTTCTCTTCGTTGCCTGCTGGCGATGATAAATTCGTGCATTGGTTCCCCGTTTCTTGCGTGTAGTGTGCGTTGCACCTTTGTCATCTTTCCCTCCATCCTCCTCCTCACTCAGTCACGTAGCTTTTGCCTGCCCATCTTCTTCTTCTTCTTCTTCTTCTTCTTCTTCTTCTTCGTCTTCCCTACTGCGTCACCACAACTCTCTCTGTTTGCATTGGTCGATGGCTCTGTGTCATCGTTGGTGATTTCTCGGACGGGGAATCCTGCAATCCACAATCAGGCGTTTTCTCTGCCTTGGTGCAGTGCGTGCCTGTGAGTGTAGGCATTTGGTATCTTCACTTATCTCAGCTGTTCTTTGTTTTTTTTTCTTTCGCCCAGTTGTTTTGTTGCCACAAGCCGGGCTCATGTGCGTGCTGATTGTGTGCGCGCCATGGCACGTGCTTCGTTGCTACTGCTGCTGTAATTGTTGTGCGTGTGTGCGTGTGTCAACCTGCCTGTTTGTTGATACTCAAGCAAGCATGCATCGTTTTGTGCCTCGCCTTTGTTCCACCTGACATCAGTCATGATGCTGCGGGTGATTGCTTCCCTTCGAATATGTGTGCACGCGCTTGCGTGTGCGTCTCTTGTGTGTGTGTGCGTCTCGTGTGTGTGTGTGTGTGTGTGTGTGTGTGTGTGTGTGTGTGTGAGCGTGTGTTGTCTGTCTCGCCTCTTCTTCATCTAGTCATCTGCCGAGTCATCATCAAAGTACTGTTAGCTCTTATGATTGCCCTTTCCTGCTCACGGTTCAGGAATATTGCCTTGTTCCTGACTTGCCCCGTTGTGTCCTCTCGTTCCCGCTGTTGTTCTGCCGTGCTTGTTTATGATGTGTGGAGTGATTGCCACGCCATGCTTGCGCACTATGTTGTTTACTTGCGAGCCGGTTACGGTCGTACAGTACAGCTCCCACACCAACACGAAGGAACACCACCACCACAAGCCACTATCAGCCACCACCACCATTGTCGGTGCAATTGCACACTTCACTCCTTCGCTCATGGCACGACCAGGGCGTGCAGGTTGTGCTCGTGCTGCTCCTGCTGGCTGGTGTCGTCGTTACGGTGTTGTGTGTGAGCAATAATGTGTTCAGCCATCGTCGTTGGCTGGCGGGCTCAGATGAACTTGACTGACCGCAACAGCAGCTTCGTCTTCGCCTTTGCCGTGGGCTGTGCACCTGGTCGTGTCGTGCCACCGCCACCACCTGCGCGCCTCCTTGCGCTGTCCTCTTCCTCCCAGAACTCCTGCAACGAGTCAAACACAACAAGCGCGCGCACAAAGAAGGCGGGGAGGCAAGCGAGGCTGCGTGAGGAGAACTGTTCCACCAAATCCAACCAACACCCAACGAATCCACACGAATCAACATCACAACCGTAAACCAGTTCCCACCACCAGAAAACTGCCAACAAAAAACCAAACAGCACAAGCAAAAAAGCAAAGCGGGTGAAGAGGGACAGGCAGCGGGGCACGCAAGTGCGCACACACGCCAACCTAAACCAGGACCACCACATCCACATGCAATACGTGCAAGACGCACGCAAACCCTTCAAAGACGAAGCCAGAAGAACACCAACCCATGACAAAGAACAGAAAGGAACAGGGAAGAAGACGTTTGCCAAACACGCACACTCCGAAAGGAGGCAGGTGGGTTGGCACCCACAAGCACAACAACGCACAAACCCCGAACAAACAAACAAACAAACAAAGACTGAGCAACGAAGGAGGAGGAATTGCCATGTTGACAACAGAGGTCGCACAAGTCACAAAAGTCATGGGTTCGTGGCAGCAACAGCAGCCAGGCTACAACAACAATGACAGAGACAGCAACAACACATTGTGCAATCGGCTTTCAACTCACCACGCGCGGCGCGTCCACATCAAAACTGTCTGCAATCTGTGGCCGATCAGGCGCCGACGATGACGACGATGACGTCGACGATGCAGCTGCAGTTGCTGCAGTTGCTGACGATGGCGATGACGTGTGGCGCTGGGAGTGGTTCAGCTCATGCAGCGTCTCCTCCACGGTGCCGCGCAAGATGAGCTGTTCCACCACCACAGATCTGTCGTTGCCGAGGCGCCATGCGCGGGCAATGACTTGCTCCTCCTTTGCGCGGTCAAAGATCTCGTCCATCAGCACCAGATGCGTCACAAAGTGCAGGTCGAGCCCGACAGCGCCGTCGGTCGACAGCAGCAGCACTTTGCACGCCGCTTGCGTGCGGAACCGCTCAAGCTCTCCCACACGATAGCTCGACCAGTACTCCGCAACGCTTTGCGAGCCTGCGTGCACACCAAGACAAAGTGTGTGCGTGTGTATGTGGGGGGGGGGATGAGTGTGTGTGCGCGTGACGAGAACAGAGGAATGCATACAGACACAGCCACACAGACACAGATACACACACAGACACAGACACAGACACAGGCACACAGATACAGACACAGACACACAGACACACAGACACACACAAACACACACACACACAGACACAGACACACACACACCGTAGGTGCGAATGATGGCGTCGCCAATGATGTTGAGCGTATCGCGGAATTGGCTGAACACAATCACTTTCAGCTGCTTATTCTCGGGCTCCAGCTCATCTAGCACCACCAGCACCACCACCATCGTCACGACAGATAGAGGACAACAACAAGTGCGTGAGTAACGGTTTGACCACCAAGAGTGAAAAACAGACAAGCCGAAGGGCAAAAGCATCAACACTTGCATCGTCTCTCTGTGTGCGTGTAAGAGAGAGAGTGTGTGTGTGACAGAGTGTGTGTGTATGTGTGACACAGAGAGAGAGTGTGTGTGTGTGTGTGTGCGCGCGAGTGTGACGTGACCACACACCTTGCCACTCCCTGAGACGCTTGAGTACGTGCTGGGCCTTGGTGTTCATCTTCAATTCAAACTGCCGCTTGCCCTCTTCTTCCAGAAACTTGCGCTGATCTGCATCACTCAAGTGCTCCGGCGCTATCACAGTCGCGTGCAGGGGTTGCAGTGAATGGAGGAAAGAGAGCGTTGAGGGCAAGGGGTGGGCAGGTTGAGTCGCACACGCCGGCATCGTGACGTTGTACCACAGTTCACACAAGCTCACATAATTTAACACACAAGGTAGCCAACAATTGGCACACACACACATGCAGGTAGAGAAGAGGAGAGACAAGGCACGTACGTGGTGGAAGCGATGTTGGAACAAAGCCGGCCATGGCTTCACGGGGTGAACTCGTTGTCGCCTCCAAGCCAACACCTGCACAGCAGAGCAAGCCGATAAGCGCACTCGTGGAATTGCACAAGTACTTTCGCAAACGCACTCAACAGCAATTGTGCATGCAACTTTCCCCGTACACACACACACACACACACACACACACACACACACACACACACACACACACACACACCTGGCTGCAAGCGTTGAACAAAGTCAACATCAAACTCCAGCTTGCACACGGGGCATTCACGTGTCCTTTGTGTTGAAGCACACACAGGGCAGACGTGAGGGAAACAAAAGGGTCAAGCAGCGACAAAGAGTGCAAAGTTACACACACACACACACACACACACACACACACACACACAAACCAACAAGCGAGCAAACAAGCAAACACACACACACACAAACCAACAAGCGAGCAAGCAAGCACGCAAACCACAAGACGTTCGCTCACTCTGATGTGATGCACGATGCGCAACACATGTGGCTGCATGGGAGAACAATCAGGATGAGCAGCTTGCGCTCGCACAAGTCACACGGCGTCGCCTGGCCCATGACGAACCGGCTCCTGGCGTGATGAGCGGACGGATGGACACGCACAAGCACCAGCAGTGATCGTCATCACCGGGTTGTGAGGTCAATGGAGAAATTACGTCACAGCAAGTGGGTGATTGGCCCAAACGAAACAGGCATGCCAGACAAGCAAGCATGCAAGCAAGTAAACGAGCGAGAAAGGGTGTGAAGTGTTGCTGGTGGGAGAGGCCGTACCGCACGTGTTGGCGACGCTCTTCGTCCAGGCCGTGCTGGGCCAACATTTGGTCCATCTCCTCCATGTACGCTGTGGTGAGACAAGGCCGCATGAGAGCCACGGCACGGTTAGCGCACGCTCGACGCAACATTGAAGAAGGCTTGTGCCTCCCTTCAATGCACACACACATGTACACACATGTACACACGCACACACATGTACACACGCACACACACACACACATGCACACGTACACAGACACACACAGACACACAGACACACATGTACACAGACACACGCACACATACACAGACACACAATCGCGTATGCACCTGGTTTGATGCGCGTGGTGCAGAAGAGACCGCCGCAACACACCAGACGCATGTGCTGCAACACAGCCTTTGCCCTGCTGGTGTCCCGCAGCAGCGAGTCCTGGGCGCCACTCGTGCGCCCTTTCATGCCCGTCAGCACGAGGTTCGTCTTGACAGAGGCCACGTACCCGTTGTATGCATCCCGCTCCAAGCGCGACGCCTCAAGCACCGCCACGCGCCGAACGGGCCGCGGCAGGTGGCGCAGTTCCTTCTTCTGGTGCAAAATCATCATGTGCGACAGCAGGTGCATCAGCCGGGCACACGTCTCCACAGAGTGCTCCTTGTTGAAGGGCACCATCACCCCGCGCCGCCACGCCTCCGTGTCCACCAGACACGGGAACCGCAGAAACTGCAGCATCTTCTCGAGGTGGCTCAGCCCAGAGCGCACCGCAACCTGCGGCGTCGGTGTGCCGGTCATGCACCAGATGATGTCTGCCTGGATGGCTGCAATCGCTGCGTTGCGCACGTTGAGCCCGCGCCCCATGATGTGCCCTTCGTCCAGCACCAGCCGGCGCCAGCGGTGGCGGAACAGCATGCCGTGCAGCGGGTGGTCGTGGCTCAAGATGCTCTGCACCATCGACACGGGCGCAACCACCAGCCCGTTCACGGCAACCGCTTCTCGCTCCTCCTCCACAATGGCCGCAGGAAAGTCGACTCCTTCGCCAACAGTCAGGAAGAGCGCCCGCCCAAGGTACTCGCGCTGGCTGCAGAACTTGTCCACCTGGTGCTCCCAGTGCCGCACGAGCGAGTCGTCCGGCACCAACACCAGCGTCGCGTTGAGCCGTGGCATGTACTGCCGCTCAACCCAATATCGGTCCTGCTGCGTGAGTGGCGGCAGCGCACGCGCCATCACCTGCGACAGGCACGACAGCAGGTGCTCCGCAATTGCCGCCAAGCGGGCGTGCACACCGCGCACACGCGTGCGAATAGCCTGCATCACCTCCACATCCTCTGTAACACTGGCGGCTCGTGTCACTGGCACTGGTGGCGCTGCTGCTGGTGCTGTTGCTGCTGTTGTTGCTGTTGTTGCTGCTGTTGGTGCTGTTGCTGGTGCTGTTGCTGCGGCCGTCGATGCGGCTGTGGCTGTGTCATTGCTCTGCTGAGAATTGGCGGAAAGAAGGGAGCTCGCGGGTGAGGCTGCGGGCTCCAATGTTGTTGACTTTGACGATGCTGACAATGAGGAAGAGGAAGTGGAAGATGAAGAGGAGGAAGAGGAAGATGAAGATGACGACAGGACAACAACATCTGATGAATTCACATCGTCTACACCCGTCGTGCTCGCCGCTGTTGTTGCCGTGGACCGCTGCTGTGAAGACCTGGCAACATTCAGCGTTTGCTTGTGCAACCACGACAGCATCGGTTGGCCTTGCACAGTCTGGGTGGGTGGCGCCAAGTCCTTAGATCTGAGTTCGCCACTGCTGTCATCAACATCATCAACCCCATCGTAGTTGTCATCATCATCATCGTCGTCGTCATGAAGTGCAATCACATCCGGTACCTGGTTGCCTTCTCCCGCTTTCTTCTTCTTGCTTCTCTGCTTCTTGCCACTCTTCCTTCTCCTCTTTGCCGTTGTCGGCTTCTTGCCCGAACCCGCGCCTGCACGGGCCCCCCTGCGCCGTGTTCGCTCCCGCTGCTTCTTCTGCTCCTCTCGCCGCCGCCGTTCGTCCTCAGCCGCCACCTCCATCGCCACCGCGCTCTCCTCGTCAAACTGCGCCCGCGCCACCACAGACAGCAATCCCTCCAGCCGCAGCCGCAGGTCTTGCAGCGTTTGCAGCGTGCCCGCTCGCTTCTTTCCGCCGGGAGTTTCAAAATCACTCAGCAGCGTGTCAAGGCCAATTGCCGCCTGCCCACCAGCCCGCAGCGCTTCCAGCTGGTATTCAGCACATGCAGCCGCCACAGTTGCCTCCACAGCACCTTGCTGCTGTTGCTGTTCACCTTGTTGCTGTTCTTGCTGCTGTTCGCCTTGTTGCTGTTCTTGCTGCTGCTCGCCATCATCGTCATCAGCCGCCTGGTCCATGCTGTCGCCATTCATTACCACCACACCTTGCGCTCCACCGTTGTCACCACCACCACCACCGTCACCATTGGCGGGGCCGGCGAGTGCCTGCCTCCTGCTCTGGGCCCGCTCCACGTCTGCCGCGTCAAACAGCGACACGGTTCCGTCTGCAAGCACATACAGCTGGTTCAGCAGACTCTTGTTGCCCTTGTCACCACCACCACTAACACCACTAACACCGCTACCACCACCACCACCAGCAGCAGCAGCAAGACTGGTGGTGGTATCTGCAATCGTGCCTGGCCAGTGTTTCGCAATCTCTGCTCGTAGCTCGTTTGCCACCCTCACTGTGGTGTCGTACAGCTGCACTTCTGGATCACTTTGAATCAGATCCTGTGCTCGAAGAAACTGCAGCTCAATCAGCCGGTCCTCCAAGTCCTCGGCACTACCTCTCCCACCCGCCGCTGGCGTCGCACCCGACGACCTGTGATCGTGAGCACGAGCATCACCGTCACCGCCGCCGCCCATTCCCGCGCTGCCAGCGTCACCATCGTCACCATCGTCGTCGTCGTCATCCGTCATGGAGCTGTGTGGTGATGGCTGCGGGTGCTGGTGTTGTTGTTGTTGCTGCTGCTGCTGCTGCTGCTGCTGCTGCCGCTCGGTGTCTGCATTGGGCGACGGTTGGTTTGGCATGGCGTTCTGTGCCAGCTGCTGCACCTTCACGTCCCACGGCGTGTAAGGGGCCGCGCGCAGGAGGAGCGCAAGCACGCTGACTGTCTTGCCAAGGCCGGGCCCGTCGCACAGCATGCCACCACGAGGCAGCATCATCGACACGGGAGCTTGCGTCAGCTCCCCGCTCACGCAGTGCATATACACGTGCCCGATGCCAGGCTCGCTGCTGGAAACCGTGGTATTGCTGTCGGTGCTGTCCTGGCGTGCGGCAGCTGCAGGTGAGGCGGTGTAAGCGGGCTGTTGCTGTGTGCTGACACCAGCAGCATGGTTCAGGCCATCGCTTCTAACACGTCGTGGTGTTGCCGCAGACGACAGCAACGGCTTTGACGATGGCGATTGTGATGGTGCCGGTGACGACATTGCGGACATGAGCAGCCGCTGCTGGCTGACCATCTGCAGCTGGTGGATGGTGAGCGCCTTCTTGCTCAGGTCCACGCGCTTCTTGCCCGAGCGACGGGAGCGGCGGCGCTCGAGCGGATGCGCCGATGTCTGTGGCGATGACGAGGATGACGACGGTGGTGTTGCTACGCGGCTCATGCAAACGGATGGGGTTGATGGTGTCGTTGATGCGCAGGCAGCACGCGATACGCTGGTACCTTGGCCATCCTTGTGGTCGTCATTGTCGCAGTCCTTCTTGGCGGTGTTGTCAGCGTGCATGCCAGTACTGTTACTCCTACCTCCATCGTCATCGATTGCACGTGGGTCATTGTCACGTTGCTGAAGTTGGATGGGAATGTGGTAGGGCATGAATGCGTGCTGTCGCGCAGCCTCCAAGCGAACCATGCGCTCCACCGCATCCAGCTGGTGTGGATACAGCCGGTGGTGAGTCAGGCCAGGTGTCGTGTCGCGTGCCAGCAAGTACATGAACTTGCACGTGCATCGCAGGTGACGCAGGCTGGCCGGGTCAAGGTGCTTGACAACCAGGGCCAGGATCTCCTGGGGAATGTCGGCAAGGGTCACGGTTGCTGGTGTTGCACCTGTTGGTGTTGGTGTTGGCGCTGTTGTCGACTGTGCATGGTTTTGTGTCGTGGCGGTAGTTGACGGTGCTGAGCTTGCGGGACCACGTGCATTGGTCGACACAACACCCTTGTCGTGCTGAGTCGACACAATCTGCAACGTGGGCGCTTCGCCCTGGAAGAGGAGCTGCTGTTGCGGTGTGTGGGCGACGGCAACCCCCGCGTACACGTCTGTCAGCGTTGGGGTGTGCCGGATGAGGAACCGCTGCCAGATGGCGGCGGGCGCCAACGCCGGCAGCTCGCAGCGGTGGTAATGCAGGCTGTGGAGCAGCGCGTAGGCCTTGCTGAGGGCCTCCGTTCGCAGAGCAAGCGCTCGCTTGCCAGACATCACTCGCGCGGCGTCAACACACACTGGGCCCACACGCAGCCGAAACGTGATGATCCAGTACGTGGGGCTGTCTGCTGTCGACAGCGTTATGGGCTGCTCTGTTTCATCGTCCCCCTGAACAACCACAACATCGCCGTCACCAGCTGCTGTCGACGCTGGCGCGCCGCCCTGCTGGGCCTGCTTCTTTTTGGATCGCGCTCTTGATACAACAGGGATCAAGTCCACCTCTGGTGGCTGTCCAGGCTTGGGCGTCTGCTTGTGGCGCCCGTCTCGCGCTGATGCTGTTGTGGTTGCGGCTGCTGATGATGATGCGGACGAAGGGGCAGAGAATACCGATGGGGTTGCTGCCTTTTGCATCGTTCTGATGGCGCGCCAGATGCCGTCAAACGGCACGGGCACGCGCAGGCGGATTGGGGCTGTCTCGTGATCTGCGTCATCTGCCTTTGCGAGCACCACCCGGAAGTAGCCCTCTGCTGTCCTGTCGACCACACGCGCACGCGTCTGTGCCATGGTGCAGGCGTTACCGGCGTCAGTCGACTGGTTCCGAGACGTTGAGGGAGCTGCGGTGGACGACGACGACGATGCGGAGGAGGAGGCGGAGGAGGAGGCGGAGGAGGGTGGCGCTGCCATCAGTGTGACTGCATCGCCGCCCTCGCGTGCCAGCAGCTGCAGCAGCACAGACTGTGGCACATCGAGCTTGCCAGGCACATCCAATGCGAATCCGCGAAGCATCTTGGACTTGTACTTCAAAGCGGGGTGAATGCGTGAGTGCGGCGCGAAGGCGTTGGGGCTGATGCTGCGCGAGTGTGCTGCGTTGCCTGCGTTGCTTGTTTGTTGTTGTGGGTATGTGGACACAGCACCTTTGACATAAAAACAGGCCGACGTTACTCTTGCGTGCTAGAATAAGGACAAACCAATCTCACTGACAAGCAAGCAAGCAAGCGAGCAAGCAAGCAAGAAGCAAGAAGACGAAGAAGAAGAAGACGAAGAACACCAACCATGGCTGTGCGCTTCACGTCCATCGACCTCACTGGTGTGTGTTTGTGTGTTTGTGTGGAGAATGGTTGCTGCGTTGGCGGTGGTCGTCGTGGGTGGGTTGGTTGGTTGGTCAATGGGTGATTGACAAGACATGCGCATGAAATTGCATGCGTGTCCCCCCTGCTGTGGGTTGTTTTGGGTTTCATTAGACGAGTTTGCTGACATCATCAACGACTCCTCTGAGCCCATCGACCTGGAAGGTGCGGTCGGGCATGTTCAGACACGTTCAAGCGGCTCGCCAATGCCAGTGCATTGCGAGTTGGCTGATGTTCCATTTACACCCAAGTCACACCACGCCATACGCACGCATACTCTTTGTCTCTGTCCCTGTCTCTCTGTCTCAACACACACACACACACACACACTCTCTCTCTTCCTTCCCGTCGGAATTGTCCGCGCACATACGCACACTTTGTCTTTCCGTCTGCCTTGTCCACACACTCACACTCACATACACACTCACACTGACATACACACATACACATACACACATACACACATACACACACACGCAAATCGGCGCCATGAACTCTTGTTCCACAACGCTTTCTGTGTCGTCGTCGTCTCAAGGCTACCATGTTGAGGACGTCCAGGGTGCGAACAAGAGCCACCCTTTCTCCTCGTATGTGATTGCCCCGGGCCACACCACCCGCTTCTGGACCACGCCAAAGGCTCAGTCAGGTATGTATGGACACCAACACTGTGCCCTCTTGTAAAGCGCGCTTCGGGTCGTGCTTGTGTGCATCTCCTCCCGCTGCTCCTTCCTTTGTCTCACCCTTTCCTTTTTTTTCTGCCTCCCTTTGTCGCTGTTCCTGTGTAGGGCTGAAGGAGGACGAGAACAACCTGTTCTGGCGCAACAAGAACGGAGCCCCGCGCGCGAAGAACGTGCTGAACAACGAGGGCGACGGCCTGCGGCTCATCTCGCCGGAGGGCACCGTCGTGTCGTCCATCTTTGTCAGCGAGCAGACGCATGCGGACTCGATGCTGCAGTCGCGCCTCTCCGTCTCGGAGGAAGGCGAGCAGCAGCCGTCGACAGAGCAGGAGGAGGAGGGCGACACAGAGGGCGCACAGGACGAAGATGAGCAGGCAAGCGCCGCCATGGCCACGGAGGAGGACACCGACCAGACGCAGCCCGTAAGCGCCAACGTCTCCTTCTTCAAGACTCGCGCATCCCTCGGAAGTGTGAGTGCTCTTTGGTGTTGGTGTGCATGTGCATGTTTGTGTGCATGTGCATGTCTGTGTGCATGGGCGTGCGCGCGCGCGTGTGTGTGCATGGGTTTGGTGTTATTACGTCTCTCTGTCTCTCTCTCTCTCTCTCCATTTCTGTCTCTGTCTCTGTCTCTCTGTGTTTGCCTCGAGTGGTCCGAACGGCACCAAATGTCGTTGCTCCACGACCCCGAAACCCACACCCTCACCCACACCCTCACCCACATAATCACCACGACTTTTGCCGCTGCCGCCACCACGGGCCTTGTGTCTTGTGGTGCAGCAGTTTGATCCAACAGAGGGCCTGTTCCAGCGCTTCTGCGAGGAGATGGACGAGATTGAGGCGCGCGTGCTGAACAAGTACAAGCAGAGGATCACAGCCAACTGAACACCGTGCTAGCTGTCGCCGTGCTAGCTGTCAACGTCCAAGCGCCAACCACGCCTTCCTCCTGCTCCGCGCCCGCTTGTTGCTGCGCTGCCTGGTTTTGTGTTGCGATTGCGTCCCCATGTGTCTTTGTTCCCAATTCTCGCCAACGCTGCGCATCCGCACAAGCCTCCTTTGCTCTCCCTCCTCGTTTCAACACACGACTGAACAGCCGCGCTGGTTCTCTTGTGCGGTTCCGTATGTTCCTTGTTCATGTGCATGTGTGTGTGCGTGTGCGTATGGGTGCATGTGCGTGCGTGCATGTATGTGTCTTAATGTCAGTTCTGTGCTCATGTTCCATCATCAATCAGCATTAAACGCCTTGCAAGTCATGGCCGCATGCATGTAGGCGTGTGTGTGTGTGTGTGTGTGTGTGTGTGTGTGTGTGTGTGTGTGTGTGTGTGTGTGTGTGTGTGTGTGTGTGTGTGTGTGTGTGTGTGTGTGTGCTCGGGTCGACGTGTACGCGTGAACCGGTGGAAGTCGTTTGAATTGTACTTTACACACCACTGATGCGATGGCAACAAATATCTGACAACAAGCATGGCAACGAAATGATGAGGTTGTGACACAAGCACACGAATACACAACCCGATCCAGCCACAAACTATCAACTAAGAGGAGGAATGGGAACGTGTCACAGGACCATACTCAACGAACAGAACCACATACATGCATGTACATATGCCCGAAGCATGAACATGTACAACAGAAATGAGGATTGAACATGTGGAAGTGTGTCTGGGTGCGTGTGTCTGAATGAACTGCGTTGTGTGCATGAATGAATGGGCTGTGCACATTTGGAAAGACGAAGAAAGGCAGGAAACTTGAAGAGTCTTGAAGGGTCATGGCGTCATCTTGGTCGAAGTTTCTTGTCCAGCAACTCCAGAACCATCACCGTTCGCAGATTGGGCATGTCGCTCTACACACGTGCACGCAATAATAGTGGCGGGGGGGGGGTGTTGAGATGTTGATGATGACGGCCAAGAGAGAGAGAGAGAGAGAGAGAGAGAGAGAGAGAGAGAGAGAGAGAGAGAGAGAGAGAGAGAGAGAGAGAGAGAGAGAGAGAGAGAGAGAGAGAGAGAGATAGCGAGGCATTCGTTTGCGCTGGCAACCACACACACACACACACACACACACACACACACACCGCGTACCTGCTTGAACCAGAACTTGGAGCCACGGCTGAGGCATTCAGCAAATTGGGACGTAAACACACCGCAATCGCAGCAGTTGCGCTGTCAAGTTGTGACGAAAGCAGCGGACGTGAGAGTGGGGCGAGGAGAAGGCTGAGGTGTACGAGGTGTACGAGTCACGATAAGACACAGGCCGTGTTGTCAACATCTAACTGGCGTTGACAATGCGCACATGTGTTCCACACACACACACACACACACACACACACACCTGTTGTGGACAGGAGTTGGAAGTGACGTTCTTCCAGGACGAAAAGTCAAACGGGCGATTGCACTTGGCCTTTGACTCCTCCATCATCCACATGCTGACAACGACCACGACGATGATGGTGATGATAGGGAAGTGCATACACACACATACATACACACACACGCACATACACACACAGAGCAGCAGCAGCACCAAAGAAGGAGACAGGGCGTTGAGGGTTCAAAACACAAGGAGACGAGCGTGAGGATAGTGAAGAAAAATAGGACGCAACACGTCAACAAAACCAGACCACATCAGCAGCAGCAGCAGCAGCAGCAGTCGCATCAACAGCAACAACAACAAAAAACAAAAAACAGCCAAACAAACAAACAAACAAACAAACAAAAAAACCAAACAAACAAACAAGCAAGCACATCTGTGATGCTTGCCATCGCCCACGCACCGGACTGTCTTGTGGAAGGACGGGTTGCCAGCATGCATTGAATCATAGTACCTGCAACAAACAAACAGGTGACACACACACACACAGATGAGAAACGCTGCACTCCCCAACACAACACAACACAACAAAAACCAAAACACAAACAAAACAAAGAACAGGGTGTGCACCAGCCAAACAGTGCAAGTGGGTGATGACGCACGTGATTGTCTTTGCTTTCATGTCGATGCATCCACAGCACCAGTGGTTTCCAGACACGTGCAGGGGGATGATGATCTTGTCGTAATCAAACACGCTCGGCTTTGCCTGCACACAGCGTTGTCGGTGGTCGTCGCAGATCAAACCATGTGTGCACGTGTATGCGCGCGTAAGTGTGCGTGCGAGACTAGTGAAACGCGCAAAGCGAAATCATCACCCATCACAAGCGCATGTCATACGCCACACGCACGCACGCACGCACGCACGCACGCACGCACGCACGAACCTTGCGTGTCCATCGTCGCACGCTGGCGTATCCGGATGAGCGCAGACTCTGGTAAAAGAACGAATTGAACAGCCTGCGTCACAACACAGACGCACGCACGCGCGGGAAGGGCAACACCGTGAGCATGGACGAGTGTACGCACATGGTTAGTTGCATTAGAGAGCCGTTGAAGTCACACTGAAGTACACTCACGCCAACACACAGAGACAGGCGTGCATGCGTGTGCGAAAGCAAACTGACCAGACGCGCGGGAGGGATGGGTCTGCGCGACTGCGTTCGAAGATGAGACCCATGTATGCGTTGACGACGGCGTCGTTGAGCCAGGTCAAGCCCTCCAGCGTCAGCAGGTCGCACCGCTGTACAAAGGTGGCGGGAGAAGGTGGTGGAAGGAGGTGAGACACACATACACACACATACACACACATACACACACATACACCTCCTCCCTGTTGCAATATGTCGTACCATGAGGGTGAACCGCATGACGCCGCCGTTTGTCGAGAGTTCATCTTCATCCCCACCAGTGGTCCACACGTCAGAAACCTGTCCGCAGCGGCTTTGACGTGAGTGGAACAGCCAAAACAAAATGCATGCAAACAAGTCGGCAACGGAAGTCGGCAAAGAGTGGCGACTTCTTCAACACTCGACACCATGTCACACATCGCATGCGCACAGTTGCACAAGATTACACACATGAAGTTACGCACCCTTCTGTCCTCCTCGGGGGTAACTTTTGCCACGCCAGGCTTCCTGTGTGCAGCTGTGGCCCAAGATCCAGCAAGAAACCGTGTAAGAAAAGCAAAAACAAAGCGCGCGTTGGATAACTGAAGTACAAAAAAAAAAAAACACACACACACACAACCAACCAACCAACCAACCAACCAACCAACCAAACAAACAAACAAACAAACTAACAAACAAAACAAAAAAACAAACAAACAAACAAACAAACAAACAAACAAAAAAAAAAGAAAGAAACAAATAACACTGGTGCGCACCGAGACCGATGAGGGTGATGCCGCTCATGAGGTCCTCGAGTTTCGCCGTTCGAATTGCGCGGCGCCGGTGGAAACTGCTCGTCTTCTTCCACTCCTCAGCCTGCAGCAGCGTGCGCTGATGGTGCACGTGCATGGAACAAAACCAAGCAAGCCGGAGGTGAGGGATGCGAGCAGCGATCCTGAAAAGTTGATGCAAAACCAGACACACCACAAGCAGTCACACTACGCACACACACACACACACACACACACAGAGGCATACACACACACGTTCCAACGCCACCCCTCTCCACCCCACCCCTTCCCCCTCCTCAGCCCCTGCTTGCCCTGCGGTGCGCGTGTGATACCTGAATGTCGCTCCACTGTCGGCTGCTGGAGAGGCGGTCATCAAAGGACGTCTGCGACCCGGCCTCACCAAGCACAGATAGCGTCGACGTGTTGTTGGCCGGCGCGCGCGTGGCGTGGATGCTCTCTGCCGCTCCGTTGCTGCGCGGCCCGGTGGATGGGGTGGTGGTGGTCGTGCGTGGCTCCGGCTGCTCATCGCTGTCATCAATCTCTTCCACGTCGCCCGTGTCCTCCTCATCAGACAGCACCACCAAGCCGTCGTCATCGTCCTCGTCATCAGCATCATGATCGCGATTGTTGCCGTTGGTCAGTGCAGTGGGGGTGGTGCCTGCAGGCATTGTTGCGGCGTGTCTGGAGTCGTGCTCCTCGTTGTGTTGTTCATCCTCATCGCTGTCTTCAATGATACACAGATCGTCGTCGCTCTGCTCATTGCCCTCTTGTTCGGCGTCGCTGCTGCCCTCTGTTGCTTCCTCCTCCTCCACCCCTTCACTCCCTGCTTCCTCATCGCTCGTTGTGTCTGCGTTGTGTGCCTCCTCCTCATCACTCGCCTCTATCTCTTCTTCCTCCCCCTCGTCTTCTTCTTCTTGTTCTTCTGCTTCGCTGTCTTCTTCGTCGTCGTCGTCCAGCTCCTCCTCTTGTCCTTCCTCTTCTTCATCCTCCCCACTCTCTTCACTCTCCCCACTCTCTTCCTCCTCTTGCCCATCATCGCCTCTTCCTTCCACTTCCTCGTCCTCGTCCTCGTCTTCTTCTTCCTCATCTTCGTCCTCGCTTGAGAGGATGACCTCCACGCTCGAGTCTCCACCGCCACGGCTGATGTGCCCACTACCACTCGCTTCATCATCGCTCTCCCTACCAGTTTCCGCCTCCCTATCACTGCTGCTGCTGCTGCTGCTGTCGCTGTCACTGCTCCCATCTCCGTCATCTCTCAACTCTTCATTTTCCTCCGCACTTTCGTCTTCACTTCCCTCGTCCATACCGACAGCGCCCTCCCCCTCTTCTCCTTTCATCTCGCCTCCATCATTGTGTTCTTGCCCGCCCACTCTTGCCTCTGCTGTGTCTTCGCTCTCATCTCTGTCGTCGTTGCCTTGTTCTGCCGCAACAGCGCCCATTTGCTTCTCCTCACCACCTTCTCTCCCCACCGCCATAGCTGCTCCTTCCTCTTCCTGTTCTTCGCCCTTCGCACCAGCAGCGCGCACCTGAGCAGCGGCAATTGCGCTCCCTTCCCCTCTATCGCCTCCAATACCGCCAGACTCGACACCGGCCATGGACTTGGGTTTCGCACTCGCACCCCTGCCCTCCTCTTCCGTCTCCTTTCCCTGGAGCGTCACCGCAACTTCAGTCGTCGTGTCATCTGCTGCCGGCTTGCTTCTCGCCTCGTTCTTGTCAACACGGGCGGCAATTGGAACCCGTCGCCAGTTCTTCTCCACATGTTGTTGTTCTAGTTGTTGCTGCTGCTGCTGTTGTTGTTGTCGCTCCTCTCCAACACCAATGACAGCGCCACGCAAGCCTCCACTGGGCGGGAATTGTGGCGGCGGCGGCGGCGGCGGTGTTCTGCCAACCATCTCCTCTCCAAACAGCTCTGCGTCTGTCGCCATGGCCACATCGTCCCCGGCCTCGGCCCTCACAGACGCCGTCCGAAGCGCGTGCGGCCCACGCGTGTCGCCAAACACGGGCACACCACGCCGCCTCCCATCGCCATCGTCGGCACGGGCAGATGCAACACGATCCTCCTCCCCCTCCTGCCTCTCCTCTTCCTCCTCAGCCTCGTCATCAGCGTCCCTCTCGCCGCCCGTGTTCGCCGCATGACGCGGCCGCACGTGCACGGCGACGGTGGCCGGGCTCGCAGACTGCGACACGGGCGCAAACACGTCCACGAGTTTCTCTGGACTCGACGACCGGTCAGACACGCGAGACCCAACGGGCGAGAGCGACATGGGCGGCGAATGGCGGCGGTTTTCAAACCCGACACTCACGCGCGCGCTCGCAGTGCTGCTCGCCGCCACGCCGCCGATTGACGATGACATCGGGGGCGCGGCGGTGGCGGCCGTGCTGGTTGTTGTTGTTGTTGTTGGTGTTGTTGTTGCTGTTGCCGCTGCTGTTGTCGGTGTTGGGTGCGCGGTGGGGCGACTGGTTGCGGCCACAATGGCAGCAGCCGCAGACCTGCCTGCTGGGCTCACGCTCCGTGCACCCGCGCGGTGCTTTGCTGCCTGTGGCGGTGGCGGCGGTTCGGCCAAGCCACGTGAGAGCTGCAGTGGTGGCACGCTCGATGATGTCGCTCGTGGAAGTTGTGGTGGAGCACGACCCGTCACCACCACCGACCGCCTCTGCGATTGCTGCTGTTGCTGCTGCTGCTGCTGCTGATGATGATGATGATGCTGCTGATGATGGTGGTGGTGGTGGGGTGGTTTGATGTCAGTGCGCTCCCTCGTACTGCCGGCACCAGTAGCAGTAGCAGCAATAGCGGCCCCACGCGTGCGCTGGAACGACACGGACTGCTCGTCATCCCACCCCTCCTCATCCTCCAGGTCCGACACGTGCGCCGATGTGGGCGACCCCCTGCTGGCAATGACGGATGACGTGCTCTCCAGTGGCCGCAGCCCCGTCATCTGCCGTGTCGACCGCATCTCCCGAATTGCGTCCTTGACCGGCGGCGTCGGGGAGATGTGTGTGGGCTCACTCGGCGGGCGCGGGTGCGGCGGGCTGCCGTTGCTGCTGGTGGTGGCTGGCAGAACCAGGCCTGTCTGGTGGAAGGCAACGCGCGCACGGCTAGTGGCGTATTGCGGCAGCGATGCTGGAGCAGTTGTGGTGGTAGGCAACGCCCTGCTGACAGGCGGTGGCGGTGGTATCAGCGTGGTCGATGACGCTGATGAGGATGAGGATGTCGGGGTTGCCATCGTGGCTGCTGTCACCGGTGCTGCCGCCGCTGTTGTTGTGGTTGTTGTGGTTGTTGCTGCTCTTGTCGTTGCGGCTGTTGTTGAAAGGTGTTGTGTCTGCTGCACGCCGGCCATTGGACTTTTTCCCGCCCTCTCATGCGCTTGTTCTTGTTGTCCTTGCTGCTGCTGCTGCTGCTGGCCCTGTTGCTGTTGTTGCCCCTGTGGTTCGGAGGCCAGGGAGCGTGTTGACCACGTTGGCGACTGTGCTGCACGTGCGCTTGCCAGCGGCAGTGATTCCAGCGTCTCCCGCGTCATCAGCACGCGGTTTCGCACGCGCTCCGCAGCACTCGCTGGGACGGCGGCACCTGTGCTGCTGGCAGGGCTGGCCGCACCGTCCTTTGCTGTGGTGAGAGGAGTGGAAGGAGCGTCAAGGGTAACCAAGGCAGACGCGTTTAGCCTGTGCTCCTGGGCCTCCCTGCGGCGCCTCTCCTCCTGCTTTGCGCGCTTGATGCTGCGGTACGGCGAGAACTTGCGCTCGAGATGCTTGTTGTGCTGCGGATCGGTAATCAGCTTCCGGTACAGTGCCAGCTTCGACGACGACGACGACGACGACGACAACGGCCGTGGCGTGCGGTGGTGGCGATGGTGGTGGCGGTGATGGTGTTTGGGCTCGTGATGGTGGTGGTGGCGGTGATGGTGGTGGCGACGACGTGAGCGGCGCACGTGTGGGTTTTCCTCCAGCTCAGCAGCGGCGTCACGGCGGGCATTCTTGCCATCTTCATCACCCACCACCGCACTGTCCACAGCAGTTTCCTTGACCAGCAGCCCTGCGTCCGCCGCCTGGACCTCCTCAGCCCCCCTCTGCTGCCGGTGTGGCATACGCGGTGCAGCCTGCGCTCGCTTCTTGGGCGAGGGCGAAGGGGAGGGCTGGAACGCGGCCGGGGTTGGTGGCGGCGAGTACTGGAAGGGCCCGGGGCGACCAGGCCGCGCACCGCTGTGCCGTGCTGCTGCTGCCCGTGGTGACGACGACAGCAACGATGGGGATGAAGGCGACAGCTGCGATGCTTGCGATGGCGCTGTGACGAGTGGAGACGGCAGCGGTGTACCGTCCTCGTCGCCAGCAGCAGGGGAGGGGGGAAAGGCGAGGTGGTGGCTGGGGCGCACGCGGGTGGAGTCCGCAGACAACGGTGCGCGGGCTGTTGACGACGACAACGACGCTGATGATCCGCGTGGCAGTGGTGGGGTGGCTCGCGTCTTCAACAGCGACAGCGGTGGCAGTGGCGGCGGCGGCTTACGGCGGCCTTGGCCATGTGCTTGCTGTGTGGACGTGTGCGGCTGCTCCAACGGTGTGGATGTATGTGGCGCTGGCGGCTGCGGCGAGAGCTTCGGCGCTTTGCGCTGGGGCTGTCCCCACGGTCGCACGCGCGGCGATGGCTGCTCGTGATGCGGCTGCCGTCGATCATGGTGGTGTCGGGGTTGGTTGTGGTGCAGCTGGGAGGGTGAGGCAGCTGACGCCACTGGTACCTGTGGCGGTTGCTGCTGTTGTGGAGTGCTTGACGTCTGTGCAGCGGCATCGGCTGTCGCCTGCTTCTGTTCCTCCTGCTCCTCCTCTGCGGGATCGGCCCCGCCAAGGACGAGCCGTGTCACGGAGTGGAACGCCTTCTTGGCTGGAGACGCGGCAGCGGCAGGGGAGGGACAAGCGTGAACGTAAGCAAGGGTGAACGTAAGCAAGGGTGAACGTAAACAAGGGTGAAAAGCCTGAATGGGCTGCATTGATGGGAGGTGATGTGGGATCGCATGTGTGTGTGTGTGTGTGTGTGTGTCGAAGATGCTTGACAGGCGGCCAAAGAGGGACTCCATGCTTGAGCATTGGGGGGGGGCGCTGTTGTGTGGCGTAGGGCATGGTGTGAGCTTACCAGAGTTGAGAACGAACGACATGACGGCAATGGTGTGTGGTGGGTACTTGAGAAGAAGCGGGCTGTTGGCCTGCTATGTCGGTGTCGTGGTGTCACGGCCAAAATGCAGCCAGCGACGCTCCCCTCGCAAGGAGTCCACCTGCAGTGAGGTACGCAGGTGGAGGAGGCACAGGCACAGAAAGCCCGACACAAGGCCAGGTTGCGAGATCGGTGAGCACGAAGTTGGGCTGGACAAGACAAGCAAGGAGTTGCATTACAGGAAGCGCGCGGGCAAGGTAGAGAGAGAAGAGGGAAAGGCAGTCGTTCGTTCAGAAGTCTCCGGCAGGAGCTGTCAATTCGTAAAATGAAAGGAGGTTTCTCACGCACAGCACGAGCCATCCCAAAAGCTCACAAACACGCACCCAACACACAGGTCATGTGCCATATCCTACAGAGACAGCGGAGAGAAAGGAAGTTCAAGGAACGCACAGAGAGAGGGGGGGGGGGAGAGAGAGAGAAATAAAGACATACCGGCACACATGCACACGTGCAGAAACACAGGCATGTTTTCAACACGCACGGACCAACAGGCATCGAATGAAGGAGCCAGATGCAACGCTGCCCACCATGACATTGGTGGGTTGGTGCGCATTGGTGTGCGAACTCACTCTTTTTCCGCTCCCTGCTGCAGTTGGTACTTATTGGTGGGTGGCAGTTGCGTTGGAAGTGCCCCACTACAAACAAGACGTGTGGAACGTTTGTAAGTGTGTTCGTGCGGTAAGGGTTGATGTGAATCGTGGGCGTGCGTGGGATGTTGTGGTGAGACACCTGAGAGTCAAGCACACGAGCACGCTCTCACCCCCAAGCAAGTGGCCAACACTCGCGCCAACCAACCAGAGAAACGGTGGGCAGCAGAAATACATGCACTTTATCGTGTCGCAAGAGGTTGAAGGACTCGACGCTGGTTGGCTCGGTTTGAGCTGCGATGGCGTCAGTGGTGGGAGGGCTGGATGTGGGGACGACGAGTGTAAAGCTGGTCATTGGCACAGCAGGACAAGGTGCAGCACTGCAGGTGTGTGTGTGTGTGTGTGTGTGTGTGTGTGTGTGTGTGTGTGTGTGTGTGTGTGTGTGTGTGTGTGTGTGCGTGCGTTATGTGTGTGTGTGTGTGTGTTTGTTTGTTTGTTTGTGTGTGTTTGTTTGTGTGTGTGTGTGTGTGTGTGTGTGTGTGTGTGTGTGTGCGTGCGTTATGTGTGTGTGTGTGTTTGTTTGTTTGTGTGTGTTTGTTTGTTTGTGTGTGTGTGTGTGTGTGTTTGTTTGTGTGTGTGTGTGTTTGTTTGTGTGTGTGTTTGTTTGTGTGTGTGTGTTTGTTTGTTTTTGTGTCTTTCTGCCGGTGTTCACTTGCTTGTGCGTCGAAAGCATTCTTTTCTCCTCTCAGCCTTGACCGCATCCCTGCATTGCACCCCCAACACCTGACACCATCTCCCCCTCCTCCCTCCCCCGTCCTATTCAGGTGGTGTTTGAGACATCGCTGCCGCACAATGCATATGTGTGCCATGGCCCCGTGCGATTCGAGCAGGATGCCGGGAAGCTTGCGCAGGCAGTGGAAACGTGCTTTGCCAGAGCGCCAGCACACCTGCGCAGCGCCATGACCACCCTGCACATCTCCTGTCAGATGCACGGCTGCATTTTCTGGAACAAGGACGCGTTCACGCGCACCCCCGCAGCGCCACCCGGATCCTTATCTCTCCTCTTGCCGCCACACAGCCGCCTCTACACCTGGGAAGACAAGTGCGTTCGCCTACCTTGTGCCTCTGCTATTGGTGGTGCTAGTTGCTACTGTTGTTGGAGTATACACATGAGCGCGTGATATTGTGTGTATGTGTGTGAGTGTGTGTGTGTGTGTGTGTGTGTGTGTGTTGTGTTGTGTCGGTTGCCCGAGCGACGTGGTTGTAGTCGCTGCTGATGTTGCTGGTGTGGTTGCGTATTTGTAGCACTCGGAGCCGCTCGCACCCTGTTCCACCCATCTCCACCCGCTCACCAGCGATTGATTTCACAACGACAGGCGGTGTGACGACACATTGCTGGCCGCAATGACGAGCTTTGAGTGCCCGAGCAAGTCACGCCATTGCCGCTGTGTCAACACGGGCTATGGCTGCGCCACGCTGCTTTGGCACGCGCACCATCAACCGGAAGTGCTTGACAACTTTGACTCGTGCACCAGCATTGGCGACTTCTTCACAGCGGCGCTGTGTCAGCAACCAGTCGCCATGAACACCACCCTAGCTGCATCGTTTGGACTGTTCCACCCAGAGGACAACACGTGGTGCCAACACGGCCTTGCCCACGCCCTGACCACCACCACAACAACAACAACAACAACAACAACAACAACAACAACAACACCAACAACAACAGCACCAACACCATCATCAACAACAGCAGCAACAGCGCTAACAAGAGCGTCTACAGCCCAGCGCGTGGCAAGGGTGCTTGACATGCTGCCACAGGTGGTTCCGCCGCTTTCCCGCGCAACCGCGGCCGCCCCACGACGCACAGCCTCGTCACCACCACCACCACCACCACCACAACCATCGTCGTCATTGTCGTCGCCACTGGTGTCCACTGACTCGCGCTGGCGCGGGAACATCCACCCGACTGCTGCACATGTGCTGGGACTGTCAGCGAGCTGTTGCGTCCTCACGGCGTCGGGCGACAACCAGTGCCAGGTGTTCGGATGCATTCGCGCGGGTGGAAGCACAATCCACGCGCAAACAGGAAGCAATAACGATACTGGCCAAGGTGCTGATGGTGGAGACGATGGGCATGCGCCGGCGTTGCAGTCCTGTGTGGTCAACTTTGGGACATCCTCCCAAGCAAGCGTCGTCACTGCCACCGACATGTCGCACGCAATCACATCAAGGGTGAGTGTGTCCTGTGTGTGTGGGGGGCTGTTGGTGTGGGGGGGGGGTCCGTCTATGAGTTGGTGTCTGCCTGTCTGTCTGTCTGTCTGTCTGTCTGTCTTTCGCTTGTATCCATTGCGCTGATATTGCATTGAACACTCACCCCGTACACCACATGCTTGTCACCACCACCATCACCGCCGCCGCCACCTCCTCTTCACGTGCAGATGGTGGAGTGCCGGCCATTCTTCTTCAACCGCTGGCTCCTTGCGTCGTCCAGCATCAACGGAGGAAACGTCTTTGCTCACATCGGCGCGCACCCGCACCTGCTGCGCACTGCGCTGCACACGCACACGCTCACAACCAGCGATGGCGATGGCGGTGATGAAGATGGTGGTGGCAGTGACAGTACTCCGAGTGAGGGCTCGTGGCTGTTTCGTGAGCTGGAGACGTGCAAGTGGACGGAGTGTCCAGTTCACGTTGACGCGCGTGTTTATCGCGAACGCGACGGAACTGGTGGAGCTTTCCGGTCGGTTGCTTTTTTCGCGTGCTTCCGTGTGCTCGTGGGATTTCCCTTGTGCTCTGTCTGTACGTGTATCCAGTGTTCCCACCGTTAACCCCTTTCTTACCCTCTATGTATGTCCCCTTTGCGTGTGATTGTGCGTGTGTCACATCATCACGTCACATGGCATCACATCACATAAGCGCACTTTCAACCCTCACCTCAGCCCATGTGGAACTCCCTCCACTGGTCTGCCATTCATTCGCATTGCTTAGGATTGGAGATGACGAGACGCCACCGTCATCACCACAGCAGCCAGCGTCGCTGCCTCAGCTCCTGTCGGGGATTTGTGATAGTCTGGCCCAGAACGTCTGTCGCCCGCTCCTCCAGACACTCTCTGGGCAGAGGCCGGTCCTCGTGCTTGCAGGCAACGCTTGCGTACGTCTGTGCCATGCTTCAGTGCAATATTTCATGTGCGATCTTTCTACAGTTTGTGCGCAATCTCACTTGTGCGCCCACCGGAGCCTGCTCACTCCTCCTTCTCCATCACGACCTCTATGCACGACAGGTTCGAAGCCCGTGCTTGCAGGCATCCATCCAGCGTGTGTGCTCTGCGAAGAAGGTGATGATTGCAGACCCGTCCATGGACGCGGCCGCTGGTGCAGCCATGCTGGCACTGCTGACGCGCACGTGATCATGGTGTTATTTGTGTGTGTGTGTGTGTGTGTGTGTGTGTGTGTGTGTGTGTGTGTTGTGTGTGTGTGTGTGTGCTCGTGCGTGCGTGCGTGCGTTTACAGTGCGTGTGCTCGTGCGTGCGTGCGTGCGTGCATGCGCTTACAGTGCGTGTGTTCGTATCAGCAACATTGTGCTGCCGCACCCCCCCCCCTATTCTGCTTTGCTTTGGCCCGTGTTATCCTGCGACTGCCAAGCCACGCATTTTATGCGCGGCCCGGTTTTCTTGAGGCGTTTACTTTGAAGTTACAATGTGCGCTGCACTCGTACGGTTGATCCAAAAGTGCAACGCATTTGTCCAAACGATCAACAAAACGGGTTCAGGTGAACGGAAGTCGGAGTGAGACATCATCACTCACACAACGCCGTGCGCCACAGCACATCGTTGGTGTGGCTGCCGTGTGCGTGGTTGGGTGTGACGGCATCGTGTCATGCCAAATCGCTGTTGGTAGAGAGGAACTGAGCAATGTCGCACATGACAAAGCCCTGCGCAGAAGGGAGCGAGCACGCACGTCGCATGTGGGAACGAATTGTAAGTTGCAGTGTGTGTGTGTGCGTGCTTGCGTGTGTGCGTGTCCATCTGTGCGTGTGAGATTGTGTGTGTGTGTGTGTGTGTGTGTGTGTGTGTGTGTGTGTGTGTGTGTGTGTGTGTGTATGCGTGTCCATGTATGTGTGTGCGCGCCTAAGCCAACCCGACAAACCTTTGAGCCGGAGATGAGGAGGGTGTTTCCTTCTGGCGACCACGACAAGAAACTCGCTGCAAACGTGCCTGCAACGCAAGAGATTTAAACCAGTGCTTACAACGTCAGGGGTGTGTGCTCTTTGCATGTGTACGTGTAAGCGCATGCGTATTGTGTGCACTCGTGTGCATGCGTGTGATGTGGCGTGGCACCACCGCACCTTTCGCCGGGATTCTGAGTGCAAGTGCCCCTGCTGTTGACCAGAAGTAGACCTGTCCCTGGCCGCAGCACAGCGCGAGCAGCGGGCGCGTCGGGTGCCACGCCTGAATGGGTGATGGTGAGTGAGCGATTGATGGGTCGTGCATGATGGTGCATGGTTCGCAGGAAGCAGAAATGATGAAGGCCGCAGAGGGGTTGAGGAGGAGGAGAAGGAGTGCACGAGATGATAGTGTCGCATCGCATGAAGCGACACGCGACACACAAACACACACGCACACACACACACACACGCACACATACACACGCACACACACACACGCACACACACACACACACACACACACACACACACACACACACACAGATACATCCGCACCGCGCAGCGAATGGCGGCGAGCTGGTGCAGAGCAGCGGTCAGGCGGAGCTTGGCAACCGTCCAGATGAAAAGCGTGTTCGGCATGTTGTCTACAAGAGCAGTGTGTGTGTGTGTGTGTGTGTGTGTGTGTGTGTGTGTGTGTGTGTGTGTGTGTGTGTGTGTGTGTGTGTGTGTGTGTGTGTGTGTGTGGCATGTGAGATGCGGGACTCCTGGGCGACGATATGATAGGATGCGTGTTTGATGTACAGTGTCAACATGATGCAACCTACCATTTCGTGAAGCGAGGAAGCGGCTGTCGCTGCTAAACGCCATCCACCCCTGTGGCCAGGACGCAAACACAGCACCACATTGGACGACACCAAACCGCGACACATGCGTGTACGAGGAGAGAGTGTTTGCAGCGAGGAGCGACACTCCACACAACAGCGCAAGCAAGAAACGCGCGCGCGTAAACCCCACATACAATACAGATGCACACACACACACACACACACACACACACACACACAATACACCGGCCGTGTACTTACGACACCAAGCCGCGGGTTTGGCTTCTCCGAGTCGAGTTTGAGTGCATTGAACTTGTAGCTGCCACTAATCAGCTCATCTGCGTGGGGGGGGGCGGCGATGGTAGTGACCGCTGTGAACTCAGACACCAAAACAGCAAAAGCAGCGAGCACGCGTCACAAAGCCCCCCGGCCCCAAACACACACACGCAACGAAACCAACGTCCATGTGATGCAGCATCAAGCACAACATGTGATGCCAGCACTGACATTGGGATGATGCGTGTGCAATGTCCTTTGCAGCCGCTTCTGCTGCCGGCGCGCCAATCTCAGCATACACAACCTGACAACGGCGGCAAGAGGCTGAGTTGCGCGGACACCCACAAATACACAAGTACACACACACGTACACACGCACACACGTACACACGCACACGCACGCACGCACATACACACACACGTACACGCACGCAGACTGGGTGCGTACTCTGTTTGCGGTGGACGTGACCGTCTGCGTGTGCTTGAAGTCGATAATCTCTGACCAGATGACGTTGTTGAGCAAGCGAACCTGCGCCATCAATTTACCCAATTCATCCACAGTACGTGTATGTGTGTGTATGTATGTGTGTGTACGTGTGTGTGTATGTGTGTGTGTGTGTGGATGTGTGTGTATGTATGTGTGTGTACGTGTGTGTGTATGTGTGTGTATGTGTATGTATGTGTGTACGTGCGCGTGCTGAACAACCACCGGCTCCATCATCGTCACCAACATGCCCTGTGCACACCTTCTGGTCGTAACTGCCGATGGCGAGGAGCTGTGATGACGGCGCCCACGCAACAGACTGGCGCAATCACAATGGAGCATAATGGGACGGGGGAATGTGGTGACAATGAGATGTGGGGAATGATGCAAGAGAGGAGCGCGCGAGAACAGAAGCAAATGCAGACGAGTGTGGTGAAACACAGGTTATGCTCAACACACACACACACACACACACACGCACGCGCACATACCCACATGTGCATGTGAGGAATACCTTGATACCAAGAGCGTCGCTGTAAGCGGAGAATGTTCGCAGGAGTTTGCCCGATATGGAATACACGCATGCCTGAGCCAACACCATAATCAAAGCAGCTCGTGAAGGCACAGTTGTGTGTGTGTGTGTGTGTGTGTGTGTGTGTGTGTGTGTGTGTGTGTGTGTGTGTTTAACACTGGTGGCACAGGCGGTGGTGCAGATTCTGCAGTGCGCTCACCGTGTATGTGAGTGGGGAGTCCCAGATGCAGAGGTGGTGGTCATCGGGCGACCACGTCAGATCGGTGGCGTCGCTTGTTTCCGTTTGGAAGCGGCGCACCACCTGCCAGCTCTCGCACGTGATAATCGACACGAAGTCGCGACCCTCCGAACGTTCAAGAACGGCCATGAACTTTCCGTTGCTCGTAAACCCAAGCCCTGGTGAGTAAGGGTGTGTATGTGCGCGCGCGTGTGTGTGTGTGTGTGTCGGTGTGTGTGTGTCGGTGTGTGCGTGTTAGGAAGGGTGTGTTGCGAAAATTCGAGCATGAAGTGCTTTCAAAGATGTGGCTCAACGCGTTCAGTTGCCCTTTTTTCTCTGTCACACACACATGCACGTGCACATCGCACACCTTTGCCGGCAAACTTTGGGAATTTGAAGTAGTGCGTCTGTTGGGCCACGAGAGACCAGATGGTCACGCGGAGCTGGTGTGATGTCGAGGCAGCAAGATGAGATGACGTCAAACAAGCCGGCACGAGAAGGTGGATGTCCACACACACACACACACACACACACACACACACACACACACACACACACACACACACACACACACACACACACACGCACGCACAAATACACACACATACACGCACGCACACACATATGCCAACTGCACCTGAAACTGTGCGGTGGTGAGGACGTGGCGGCCGTCTGGGCTCCAGCGCACAGATTCCAGCCCTGCCGGCGCCACGACGAATGATCATGTCACATGATGTGAATGCGTCAGTCACAGCGCGGTAAACATGGTGTGTGTGTGATCAAAGCAGAGTCGACACATGATATGCTGCTCCCTCCTCCTGCTCCCTCTTCCCTTCACTCTTTGGGGTCACGAGAGCGCACCTGCTGCGCCTTCGTCGATCCGGCACTCCCATTCCACGTCGTCCAATGCCCAAATCTGTTGGTTGGTCGTCGAAGGGCAACAAGATGGGATCGACAGTGTGTGTGTGGAGGGGGGGGGGATTAGAACAAGTGCAAACATGCGTGTTGTGGGCTATGTGGGAGCATGTGCAACGGATGCAAAGATTGGTTGTTGAGAACCGTGTGTCAAGTCAAGCACACGCGAAAGGCAGAGTTCGTACCTCCACCAACGCCCGCTGGAAATTGGCTGTGATCAGGTACTGTGAATCGGATGACCACTGCAGCAAGCGTCAGCAGCAGAGCAAGGGAGAGGTGGTGGTGATTCGTGGTGAGGTTGTAGCCTTCAACAGGGCATGAGGGGTGCGGTAAGTGGCACAAGAGACGGCGGCGGGCCCGTGACGCACCTCGAGGTAGTTGATGGCATCTTTGCACGCCTGCGTGCGAACAACGGCCGCATCACTTGCTCGCCGTATGATCAGTTTGTTGTCGATGCCAAGTGCCTGTGAACACCAAGGACAAAATGGCAGTGGTGGTGGAGGATGTAGGAAGTGGTGGTGAATCACCATGCCATGCCGTCAGTGCCTGAAATGAACCTTATTCGTCGCAAGACGCAAAGCAAAGAACGCTAGCACACACGTACACATGCACACACGCACACGCACATGCACACACAAACATGGACACACACACGCACATGTACACATGGACACACATACTCACACATACAAAAACACACACACAACACACGCGCATGCATACACACTTACGATGTGCTCCCCGTTTGGTGAGCATAGCGGTGGCTGCTTCGGTGCACACCGCATCGGCTGTGAGAAGTCCATCTCCGCCACTCAACAACAACAACAGCTGTGCAAAGGCCTGCGGCTGTGTGCTGTGCTGCTGCACAAACATCAAAGGTAACGGTCAAGGCAAATTTGACTTTGGCCACAGCAAGAACGCAAAATTTGCCTTTGCACGAGGGATGGATGACGCGATGCGCGCATTTGACGCGCACATAGCAAACAAGAAGACAACACACAACACTAACATACTCATAAGCAGACAACACTCACACCGATCACCCACCCACATATCACCCTTACAAGAGCATGGCGGAAGAGACGTACACCTGTGTTCGGCAGGGAGAGCAGGTGATTGCCACGGCGGTGGCTAACCCCACAGCGGCATTCAAGACGCGGATGTGCGAAACAGGGCATGTGATCATTTGTTGCCTGCCGCCGTTCTGGTGGGCCCTGCCCTGCATCAGTTCCATCTCGTGTTGCGAAGCCTCTGCTGCAAAGTCCCGTGCTCGCCGTGCGCGGCTCATCCTGACCAACAAGGCCCTGTACGTTGAAGGCGATGCTTCCGCCATGCTGCCTCGTATCCCCCTCGATGAACTGGGCTCTGTCAGCCTGTCGGCGCCAGACACCTGCCTCGACGCGTCGAACCCGAACCACCAAGACTTTAACATCACGATGCGTGGCAAGAGCCAACCCATGTACTCCCTACCGTGCGTTGTTGACCCGCAGCCTTTCATTGACAAGGTCTTCCAGGCAAAGGGGGCCTTTGAGGCGAACGAAAGAAGCGCAGACGCCGCCGCTCAGCAACCACAGCCCTTCTCACACCCGCAGCAGCAGCCGCCGCAGCCCATCTCGCACCAACCACAGCCCAACTCGCACCAACCACAGCCCAACTCGCACCAACCACAGCCTATGCATCAGGCCCAACAATATGCGCAGCACCAACAGTTTGCCGCTGCCGCACACCGCACCCAAATTCCAGGCGCCTTGTATCCTCCTCAACCGTCAGCACCCATGCTTCCAGGAGTATACAACGGCTCGGCGCCAGCTGCCTCCAGCTCTCAGCAGCCGCCTTCCTACGACGATGCCACAAGTGAGGGAGGGCGCACTTGTGCGTGTTTGTTTGTAGTGTTTGTGTCTGTGTGGGCCCGTGCGTTTGTGCCTCTGTGTGTGTGCGTGCGTGCGTGTGTGTCTGCGTGTTTCTGTGTGTGTCTGTGTGCGCGTGCGTGTCTGAATGTGTCTGTATCTGTGTTTTTGTTGCCGCGTTTGCGCGTGTGATTGTGTACATGTCCAAGTACATGTCTGTTCATGTACGATTCTGAGCACAGACTCCACCGCAATCTCACACCCTGCCTCCTTGCTTGCTTATCACTGATCACCCCTCCCTGTGCACTCAATTAGATCATCCTGGCCCAGCAGCAAACGCAAGCGGCAAGGACAAGAGCACAGATGGCAGTGATCCGGACCGCAAGCGTGTGTTTGTGACGCTCCAGACCAACCCGAGCCAGCGAGCCATCATCGTGCTGGGGAAGGACGACACGTGGCACACGTTCACGTATGCGGTGCTGCAGAAGCTTGGCGTAGCAAGCACATGCACGCCAGAGCGGGTGCGCGTATTCCTGAATGGGTTTGAAGCACGCACCCTTGAAGACATCAGCAATGATGACAGGCTCGACATTGTGCTGTGATGTTTTGTGCGTGCGTGTGTGTGTGTGTGTTTTCGACTCGTTCTCTGTAAAAGCTTATTTGCATTCGCTGTTACAACTTTGTGGTTGGCAAACCTCGCGTACATGAGTGCGCGTTCTTGGTGTTGATCCCTGTCTGTCTGCTTTCCTTGCCGCTGTGCAATGCCCTGTGTTCTTGGCTGAAGTGCTGGTCATTTCCGTCCACAGACACACACAGACAGACACAGAGAAGTACACGTCCGACTAACAGCAATCACATACATACACGAATGACTGTGATACATGTGCTTTGCACGTGTGCGGGCTGCTTGCTCGGCACGACGGCACATGGGTTGCGGTGCAGCTCTCTTTGGGTCTTCTATTCATTGCGCGCGTGTGTGTCGGGGGGGGGGGTGAACAACGCTGACAGCGGGCAGACGGAGCGGGGGGGGGGGGTGGCCACACGGGCACGTGGCAAACAGAAGCAGCGTTGGAGGGAGGGTGTGGGGAAAAAAACAAGAACAGGTGCAGATTGGAGAACAGACAGACAGACAGACAGACAGACAGACAGACAGACACACACACACACACACACACACACACACACACACACATAGTTCAGGCTGTTGATGTTGCTGGTGCAGTGGCGTGGGTTGGTCCGCTGTTCTCTCCTCCCTGCTCTTCGTGCTGCTGCTGCTGTGGTTGTATGAGGGTGCTGGTTGTGTATGTCTGGAGGTCTCGCTGAAGCTCCGACAGCAGGCGCTTGTTCTCCTCCGCTGCGTGCTGCCGGTGGTGGTGATGATGGCGGGAAGTGGAAGAAATGGACG